TCAACTGTAAACCTAAAAATGTACAGCCAATTTTGTAAGAGATGCAGCCTAGCTCAGAAAATTGTTATTGAATATGTCAATGCTGATGTAATGAAATGCTTCTTCTAAGTATGTGGTTATTAAATAAATAATTTTTTTAAAAAAAGAAATACTTCTGGTTAAGGAATACTTTTTGATTTCTAAGACCTGTTTTACCTATGTTAACTAATTAATCCTTAGACTAGCCTTTCTGCAATAGTTGTTATTATTCCCATTTTACAGATTAGGAAACCTTAAGTTTTAAGAATGTTAAGTCACTTGCCCAACTATTTTTATCTTCTTAAGCAGTCTGCAAGTTTTAGACCTTGGATTTAAACTTAGTTCTGACTGACTACAGAGCCTACAAAGCTCTCTGTTCTAAAAATCCTCCCTGAAATATGTGTTGGTCAAGACTACTGTGCGTCCTTTTCACACAAGGTGAAAATGTAAGCTTTTATAGTTCTAAGACTAGGGAGCAAAATTTTTAGCAAATGAATGTCAGATCTTTGATGTGCTAGAAAGAACTAAATATAGGCAGCTACCATTTTTCCCAATACATTTATGCTTTCTGGGGTTTACATCTGAGATTTATGCTTAAGGTTGACATCAGTATTTTGTCAAGTCTTTCCTACTGGGCTCTGAGATAAATTTCGCACTTAAAACTGCTTCTTTTTCCATGAAGATCTGGGACAAATGTCATCATCCTGTTAGCTAGCCCAGACACTGGGTCTGAGTAGGCACTCAGAAAGTGCCTGGTGCCTGATAATCAGAAGTCACTGGAATCAAAGGCCCATGGTAAACTTTAGAAATGTAGTAACCCGTGAAGTTGTTAAAAGTAAGAAAGATTGCCAGGCATGGTGGCGCATGCCTTTAATCCCAGCACTTGGGAGGCAGAGGCAGGCGGATCTTTGTGAGTTCAAGGCCAGCCTGGTCTACATAGTGAGTTCCAGGACAGCTGGGGCTACAAGGAGACCGTCTCAAAAAAGAAAAAAGAAAAGAAAAATTTGAGCATTGATCTTTTTCTAATATTTATTTTTAAATTGTGCGTGTGTGTGTATGTGTCTGCATGTGAGTGCAGGTTTCTGTGGAATCCAGAAAAGGCTGTTGGATCCCCTGGAGCTGGAGTTACAGGTGGAATTGTAAGCTTGCTGGTGTGGGTGCTGGGAACATGAATCCTTTGCAAGAACAGGACGCCATCTCTCCAGCCCTGGGCATTTCTTTGAGGAGAGGCCTTTCTGTCAGGTCTCATAGTTTCTGTGTTCTGCTCCCCAGTGACAAGCCACTGAGTTGTATTGTTACAGAATGCTAGCATTGAAGGGGTCCTTAGAATGACCTGGTTCCATCTTCTCATTTAGAAGGGATGAAAATCCCAGACACTCCGTGTGGCTTCCCCAAGATCACTGAGTAAGGGCAGAGCTCAGTCACTACGTGTCATAACTAGAAACACTAGTCAGGAATCAAGGGAGATTAGCCTTACCATCAAATAACCTAAAGTTTAATTATACTTATAATCAAAATCATGACTTAGAGCTGAAAAGCTGCTTTACATTTACAAAGTAATCTTATGTCAGAGTTTCATATTGATCAACTTTGAGCCTAAAAATCACTAGAAATTAAGGATGTATCTCTCAGCTGCTAACCCCTGGCTTCCAACAATCCACTTCATTAGAACTCCCTAACCATAAGACTTTAATATTGTAAGGCCTTTTAGTATGATTTTTTTCTAAATGTAAGAAAGATGATCCTCTATTCGAAGCACCTTTGACTTTTTTACCACCATGAACTTGGATTTGGTGCATGACTAACAGAGGTAAATGATTTTAACTAGAGAGTCGTGTCTGAGTTGTTGTCTTATTGATTTTAGAGATTACCTTAATGCCCTATTTCTTATCTAACACCAATGTTTCTAATCCCGTGTCACACCCGTCTTCTCATCATGCAGCAAGGCAGTTCTAATAAATTACTTCCAGTTCCACCTGGAGAGCCTCTACTTCCTGTAATAATTACTTTGCGTTCAGTAATTGCCTGGATCATAGACCTTTCTTAGCCCATGCATACAGTGTCACTTCAGAATTTCTCCTTAACTCTTCCGGGGCTCAATTCCAACAACACTGTAATTGGTTTCAGGTCATATCTTCAAAAACACATCCCTGTCTTCACTCAGTATCTGTGGTTTGCTATGTTCTAATAGAAAAACTAGTTAGCAAATATAATTCAACAAAAGATATGAATATGCCCTGGGTAAATACATCATGAAAAAAAATGTAGCTTTAATGCCAAAATACTGAAATTTCTGGGTTGTTTTATGGTTTGAGGAAAGTAGAGAAGAAGAGCATAGGCTTGGCATACGGTCAGAGCAGAAATCCTGTAACATAAACCAAACTCCTATGGGCACAGGCCTGGCTGTGCTGGAAAGAATGAAGAGAGACAGTTAATATTGGGACAGAAGTTTAGCAGCCTGGATCTAAGTTCAGGATTTCAGTGCTTCTTCTCGTGAACATCTACATATGTCTATAGCCAAATAGAAACCGATCTTGTTGCTGAGGAGATGGCTCCATCAGTAAAGCACTTGCAGCACAAGCATGAGAACCTGGCACAGTGCCACACACCTGTAACAGTAGTGCTTGAGGTGGAGTCGGGGACTGGAAACGGCAGATTCCTGGGGTTCATTGGCCAGCCAGCCTAGCCTAACTGACAAGCTCCAGGTTCTGTGAGTGACCCTGTCTCAAAAAGTAAGGTGTAGGGGCACGAAGAAATGCCTCAATGGTTAAGAGCACTGGATGTCCTTGCAGAGTACCCAGGTTTAGGTTCCAGCACCTACACGGCAGCTAACAACCACCCAGTACTCCAGTTCCAGTGGATCCAACACTCTTCTGGCTTCTGCAGGTATTGCACTTACATACACGCAGCAAAACACTCATGCACATAAAATGAAAATAAATAAAATTTTAAAAAATTAAGTGAGAAGTTAGTCTCTGGCCTCTACCTGTATGTACACATGCACATGTATGCACACCTACATACATGTGCATGCATCCACCCACACAAGTACACACACGTATACACCCACACAAAAGAGAGAAGTGGGCCTTGTGGTCTGTTACTGAATCAAGATTCATCATCAAATGAAAAATAGAGCACCCTTAATAGCGTGCTTTAAATGCAGGATTGCCTTATTTTACGGTTTTCCTAGTAACACACACTTTCCTATTTGTTGAGAGAGAAAACTGGGTATACAGAAATGTCTGTTTATTCATTTACTGGGAGGTGCCTCAGATTTACAAAATAGCATTAGTCATAATTCTTAGTTCAGAAAGCATGCATCAGTTGACACTTAGATTTTTTAGGGATGTAGCTAGTGATTTTTGCGATTTTAAAATGGCATGAGAAACTGCTACCTAAAATAAAAGGTAGCTAGGACTTTGACCATAATCTGTATCGAATCATGTGGTTCACACCTGACTAATTCATCCCACAATAGCCAACATCTTGACTCATGTTCATCTCCTCCTTGCATAGCTTTATTGCATCTATGTACAGTCTTAATAGGGTTTTAATTTTTTAGTTGTTTTAACATAAAAAGATGTTTTAACATAAAAGGCATTTTAATGCAGTGTGTAATCCTTGGGGGACTCAGATTTTTCAAAATTATTGTTATACTGCTAATATTATTCATATTTCATATTTTGATGCTAAAAGCAAGAAACCCATATTTTATGTTTTAAGTTAATAAATAATTATGTCTAGTACATAATACTTTATGTGTATGTCACAATTCACCATCTGATCTTTTGTAGATGGACCTCCTCTCCCACAGGTTTTAAAATTTTGGCAAATGACTACGAAACAGCATTGCTCTGGGGACTTTGTTTGCTTTTCTTTGGTAACTGGTGATACAGAACGTTTTTAAATACATTTACTCATACATGTTTCCTCTTCTATTTTTCGTTTGCTTATACTTTCCTTGATAATCTGAGTCATCAAGGTATGCTGTGGTTATTAGTATCTTCACCATCTTTCATATCAAACACTATGAAAGTTATTATGAAGCTATATGAAGTTATTATGTTCATATTCTATCTTATAAGTGACATTTTTGCCACTTATTAACTTAGAATGCATTCATCAGGTTTTATTAAAAGTTCATTCCCAATAAATCTTTCCCCTCCAGAACCTTGTGATGTATAGGACAAATTTTTTTCTTTTTTAAATGCACACGATAAAAATCTAGTTACTTTCTTTTATTGTCTCCATTGTCATCTGTGATCAGTGGCTCATTCAGAATTACTAAATCTTTAACCATTCTCCATCCTCTTTTTCAGTGCCTGACAAGGTCCAGGGAATCAGTGTGAGCAATTCCGCTAGAAGTGACTATTTGAAGGTGTCCTGGGTGCATGCCACTGGAGACTTTGACCACTACGAAGTCACAATTAAAAACAAAAACACCATCATTCAAACCAAAAGCATTCCAAAGTCAGACAATGAGTGTGTTTTTATTCAGCTAGTCCCTGGACGATTGTACAGTGTCACCGTCAGCACCAAAAGTGGACAGTATGAAGCCAGTGAACAAGGGAATGGGAGAACAAGTAAGTGAAATGATTGTCAAAGGACAGGTGATTGGACTTGAAGGTCCCTGGGTAAATAGTTTATATGAACCTGGAATTTCCTCTACTTCCTGAACAGTAAATTATATTCCCAGTAAACCTGATTTGGAGCTAACATCATTCATCCAGGCCATGGCCTCTAATCATGGAATATTTCAGTAGATAAAAGCAAAGCTAGTAAGGAAGGAGTGGGACACGTGTTCCATTTTTCTTCCCTGACTTCTTTCACTGAGGCATAAAAACTCTGTAGATGCCTTGTTTTATCTTGTGATTGAAATCATAACTCATTTTATAATGGTATTCTACCAACGTGCAGCATCTAAGATTTATGTCAGGAAGAAATAACAGCTTTAATAGTTGCTTCCAGTTTTTCTTGTTTTATTATGCATGAAGTAGCTCGAGTGGTTATTTGGGGAAAGAAAGATGTTTGCCAGTTCCTTGAATGTGATTCATAAATTATTGTGTAGGTAAACTCGATCAATCCCTTTCCTGAACGTCTCGTTTTTCTCCCCAGTCCCAGAGCCTGTGAAGAATCTCACACTACAGAACAGGAGCACCGAGGACCTGTATGTGACTTGGTCACCAGCTGATGGGGATGTTGACCAGTATGAGATCCAGCTACTCTTCAATGACATGAAAGTATTTCCTCCTATTCACCTTGTAAATACTGCAACTGAGTATCAGTTCACCTCTCTAACACCAGGACGTCAGTATAAAATCCTTGTCCTGACCATCAGTGGAGATGTCCAGAAGGCAGCCTTCATTGAAGGCCTCATGGGTAATTTGAAATTCTCAAACTTGAGAAGATCCAGTGGTGTACTTGAGATGTTAGAGAGCCCAGGTATTTGCATTAAGACTTGAAGGAATGAGAAAAAAGAAGCAGAAAGTTGTCTTGATCATGGGAACAGCATTGTCCAGGCAGAGCTGACAAAAATGCAGCATGACATGGGCTAGCCAGGAAACTTTCAGAAAAAAACATTGAATCAATGTGCCTAGCTGGGGCGTCTGAGGCTTGTGCCTAGCTGGGGCGTCTGAGGCTTGTGCCTAGCTGGGGCGTCTGAGGCTTGTGCCTAGCTGGGGCGTCTGAGGCTTGTGCCTAGCTGGGTGTCTGAGGCTTGTGCCTAGCTGGGTGTCTGAGGCTGGCAGGCTACATTATATACTCTAGCAAACAACTCTCTTGCAGGAGCATCACATTTTTGAATCTCTTTTAGGAGTGTTGTTAAGATAGTATTTGTTGGCTGCTTACTGTAAGCCAGCACCACTGTAAAGCACTTTGTATCTGTCTTTTGTCCGGTCTCCAATTCTATGGCCCAGTTACTATAATCACCATTACCATTTTCATAGGAAGAAGCCAAAATTCACAGAGGTTCAATAATTTGATGATTATCACATGGCTACTAACTAAGAAAACAAAGATCTGGACTGCGCCAGCCCACCCCTTGTATATGGCATTTTTCATTTCCATTCACTGGCCTTGATGTCCCTCCAAACTTTCTCCCATTAATGTCAGTTCATACAGAATAGTCAGAAAAGAATGGAAAACTGATGCTTTTTTCATGTGCAGTCTTTCAGTAAATGATAAAGTTCTAAAAATCATGACTTTGTGTGGAGGGGGAAAGGAACAAGGAGTGCTCGGGATGGAACCCAGGGCTAGGCAAGTGTTACACAGAGTCACATCTCCAGCCCTGCATGTAAACTTTAGCTGATAATTTTTACAATTCATTCTTTAAGTGATCACTTTTAAATTTATTTTTCAGTTCCTAGTGCTGTCAAAAATATTCACATTTCTGCCAATGGAGCCACAGATAGCCTGATGATAACCTGGACCCCTGGTGGTGGAGATGTTGACTCTTATGTGGTATCAGCATTCAGGCAGAATGAGAAGGTTGAATCTCAGACTATCCCTAAACATGTCTCAGAGCACACATTTTACCGGCTAGAGGCCGGGGTCCAGTACCGGATCGCCATTGCTTCAATCAGCGGGTCCCTAAGGAACCAGATAGACGCGTTCGGGCAGACAGGTGAGCACCTAGCTGGTGAAGGCCCAGATTATAGAATGTTCCATGGCCTCCACAGCGAGACAGTGACTAGGCTTAGATATTCACAGAAAATCTTATTTAAAACCATCTAAGCTTGTACACGTCACTGTGATTCCAAGAACATTTCACATTTTTTTTGCACTTTTTGTCTTAATAAAGATTTTTCAAGGGAACTTTAATGTTTTTCTTGAAATCTATACAAACTCTGCATATTCGTGGTATGTTTTTATTTTTCTGTATGCTTGAGAATTTCATACATGTATACAATGAAATATGATCATATCCCCCCATATCTCCCTCCAACTCCTTCCATATCTTCCTCAATATACCCCTCAACTATGAATATGCCCCCTTTTTATTGTTTGAATAACCCACTAAGTGCAATTAGTGCTACCTATATGCACATGAGTGTGGGGCCATCCACTGGAGCATGGGAAGCCCACCAAGAGTGATTGTCCCTCTCCCAGCAACTACTAACTGCCGCTAACTTCTCAGCAGGGGTAGGCACTGGAGATCATCTACTTCATCTTTGCTGGAATGTGGCTGGCTTTTTTTTTATGCAGGTCTTTTGCAAAGCCCAGCTGCTTTGAGTTCATGAGTGTAACTCATGTCATGTCCTGTCCAGAGGACAGCATGTCACAGCACTCCTCCCCATCCTCCAGCTCTTACATTCTTTCTACCTCCTCTTCTGTGATGTTCTCTGAGCCTTGATGAAAGGTGACAGCAATAAAATCATTTGAGAAAAGTTTACTGGTTGTTAAATGATGTTTAGATTTTATTTTTTTTATCCACAAGTCTCATAATAATGCACTTTTCAAAATTTCACTTTTTTCAAAATTCTTTCTTAGGAAAAGAAATACAGTGCTGCTGTCAACTTTACCTGTGATTTAAGAGAAAATTTCCTCAATTGATTACTTTCCCCTAAGTGACAGAGCCTGAATTTTCTTGCTTCTCTCGTTTCTTTGAAGTTCCAGCATCTGTCCAGGGAGTAATTGCAGACAATATGTACAGCAGTAACTCCTTAATAGTGAGCTGGCAGAAAGCCGTTGGTGTGGCTGAAAGATATGATGTCCTGCTTCTCAATGAGAATGGAATCCTTCTGAGAAACACGTCAGAGCCAGCCACTGCTAAGCAGCACAAATTTGAAGATCTAACACCAGGCAAGAAATACAAGATGCAGATCCTAACTGTCAGCGGAGGTCTCTTTAGCAAGGAAGCCCAAGCTGAAGGCCGAACAGGTAATTATCATAACTTAATGTCTGGTACCAGATGTCTCCTCGTTTACCATTGTAAACAACATTGTAAGGTGAGAGAGTGAAGCAGTATTGGAAAAAGATATATGTTTCTCGGCACACTAGTAACACTCATCCTGACTTAAGATGTAGCTCAGTTAACCAGCCCACACAAGCTTTGGCCAGCCATACTCCAATTCAGATTTTTCATTAAAACTGTCACTATTAGTAAAAAAGAGATAAAATTATTCACCAGTATCTCTAATGAACATAGATGTCAAATTTTTGAACAGAGTACTAGCAAATCTAACCAAATAGTGTATAGATAAGATCATTCATCATGATCAAGTAGAATTTACTTCAGAGATGCAAGGATGGTTTAATACATGCAAATCAATGTGTATTATCTCCAAAAATATAGAAAAAATGTCCAAGGTCATTCAACATCTCTTTATGATAAAAATTTTGAAAAATTTGATATAGGAGCTTGCCTTGACATAATAAAAGCTATGAATAGGAACCTTTAGTCAACATATTGAATGGGGGAAAAGCTGAGAACTTTCCATTAAGACCCAAAACAAGATGACAATGTCTAGTCTCACTGCCCTCATGCAACATAGTACTGGCAATCTACCCAGAGCAAGCAAGCAGAAGGAAGGGGGAAAAGGCATTCAAGTAGGATAAGAGGAAGTCAAATTATCACTGTTAGCAAATGATGTGATTTTGTCTATAAATTCCAAAGATTTCACCAAAAGACTGTTGGAACTGATAAACAAATTCAATAAAATTGCAGGACGCAAAGTCAATATACAAAAATCAAAATCTGTTTATACGCCATGACAAAATTCCTGAGAAGGAAATCATGAAGGAAATACTATTCGCAATAGTTACAATGAAAATAAAAGACCTAGAAAGAAACTTATCTAAGCAAGGGAAAGATTTCTACAATGAAAATTACAAATCTCTGGTGAAAGAAATTGAAAAGGAAACACGACACAAAAGTGTAAAGACCTCCCCTGCTCATGGATTACAAGAATGAATATTACCAAAACATCCATACCACTTAAAGTAATGTATAGATTCAGTTCAATGCTCATAACACACCAAAGATATTTTTTTACAGAATTAGAAAAACAAAATACCCTGTACTTCATTCAGAAGCAAAAAAGTCACCCAAGTAGCTAAAACAATCTTGAGTAAAAAGAACAAAGATAGAAGTGTCACGGTACCTGATGTCAAAATATACTACAAAGCTATACTAATCAAAGCAGCATGATAGTGTCATAAAGAACAGTTGGACTGACCAATGGAATAGAATGGGGTGTCCAGAAATAACCTCACACATTTGTGGCCACTGAGTCTCAACAATGGTGCCAAAAGCATGTATTGAAGAAAAGACAATTATCTCTTCAATAAAATTGAATGTCCACGTGTAGAGATTGAAACTTGGCCAGTGTCTTTTACACCTATAAAAATAGATTCAAAGTGGATCAAAGTCCTAATTGTAATACCTGAAACTATGAAAGTACTGGAAGAATAGGAAAATACTTCAAGACATCAGTATGGCCAATTATTTGGGGAGGTTATTTCAAACTAAGAAGCTTCTATACAACAAAGTAAACAATCACCAGAATGAAGAGACATCCAAAAGAATGGGGGGAAATTTGGGGACACTTGTCATCTGACAAGAGATTAATATCCAGAGTATAAAAAGAACTTAAAAATTCAAGAAGGGGCTGGAGAAATGGCTCAGCGGTTAAGAGCACTGACTGCTCTTGCAGAGGACCCGGGTTCAACTCCCAGCACCCACATGGTGGCTATGAACCTTCCTTAACTCCAGTTCCAGGGGAATCCAACACCCTCTTCCAATGTCCAAGGCATTACATGACACAGGTGCACTCACATACATGCAGGCAATACACTCATACATGTAAAATAAAAATAATAAATAAAATATTTTTAAAAATTCAACAACAAAAAAAGCAAATAATCTGATTTCTAATGAACAAAGTCTGTGAATAGGCCATTCTTTGGGGCGAGGGGTTGTTTTAGTTTGGCTAGAGGGGTTGGAGTTTTTGTTGTTTCTTTGTTTTTTTGTTTTGAGACAAGGTCTTACTATGTCACTCTGGCTGGCCTAGAATTCACTAAGTAGACAAGGAACATCTCAAACTTTTAAAAATCTTCTTACCTCTGCCTCCCAAGTGCTGAGCTTTCAATCATGCATCACCACACCCAGCAAGTACTTCTCAAAAGAATTCTAGTGTCCAACAAATTTATTAAAAAATATTCAGCTTCATTAACCATCAGGGAAAACGCTAGTCAAAAATGCCAATGAGATAGTATCCCACCTCTAATAGAATGTCTGTTACCAAAGAGACGAAAGATAGCATGTTGGTAAGGTTGCGGTCAAAGTGGAACTCATATAAATTAATATAGCTACTAAGAAGAATGTATAATGGTTCCTCAGAAAACTAAACTGATCTACCATATGATCAGCTATCTCATTTCTCAATGTATAGCCAAAAGAAATTATATCAGCATATTAAAGAGACCCAGCACACTCATTTATGCACTCAAGTATGCTGCATTACTTGTGAACAGTTAAGATTTGGAATCAGTTTGGATGCCTATCAAAAGATGAATGAAGAAAATGTAGTATATATGCCCAATGAAATAGTATTCATCCATTGAAAAAAAAGAATTCTATCCTGTCACTTGCAAAAAAATGAATACAACTGAAGGACAATTTGTTAAGTGAAATAAGGCACTCATAGAAATACAGACATTGCATATTCTCTTTCATATGCAGGTGTTTAAAATTATTAATTTGGGCTGATAAGATTGCTCAGTGGGTAAAAGCACTTGCTGCCCAGGCTGATGACCTGAGTTTGTGCCCCAGGACCCAGACAGTAGAAGAGAACCAACTCCTACAAACTGTCCTCTGACATCCACATGCATGCTGTCTTAATTTGCTTTCAGTTATTGTGTTAAAAACACTGACCAAAACCAACTTGGGAAGAAAAGGACTTATGTGGCTTATGGCACAGTCCATCATCAAGGGAAGCCAAGGCAGGAACTCAGGGCAGGAACCTGGAGCACAGACAGTGGACGAACACTGCTTACTGGCTTGCTTCCCTGGCCAGTGCTCAGCCTGCTTTCTTATACAACACAGGACCACCTGCCCAGGGTTAGAACCCCCCCACGGTGAACTAGGCCCTCCCACATCACTAAACAATCAAGAAAATGCCCCCAAAGACATGGCCACAGGTGAATCCACCGGTGAATCCAATGCAGCAAATTCCTCAGTTGAGACTCCCTCTAACCAGCTGTCAAGTTGACAACTAAAGCTATCTAGCACACATGTCATGACATGTGCATGCACACACACACACACACACACACACAAATAAATAAATATTTTATAAAGATTTTCAAAGCTGGAGCGATGGCTCAGTGGTTAAGAGCACTTGCTGCTCTTTAAGATGACTAGAGCTCATATCCCAGCACCCATATCAGATGGCTCACAACTGCCTATAACTTCAGCTCCAGGAGATCTTACACCCTCTCCTGGCTTCCATAGGTATACACACACACTCATAGGTATATACACACACACACACACACACACACACACACACATAAATAAATAAATAATAAACTCTTCCAGTCCCAGCAGCTGTCACCGATCTGAAGATCACAGAGAACTCCACCAGACACCTGTCCTTCAGCTGGACTGCCTCAGAGGGGGAGCTCAACTGGTACAACATCTTTCTGTACAATCCAGACCGAACTCTGCAGGATAGAGCTCAAGTTGACCCGCTAGTCCAGAGCTTCTCTTTCCAGAATTTGCTACAAGGCCGAATGTACCAGATGGTGATTGTAACTCACAGTGGAGAGCTGTCCAGTGAGTCATCTATATTTGGCAGAACAGGTAAGATCTAGGCCCAAGCAGCAAAATATCTCAAGGGAATTATCACAGCATTCATTTTTTTTTTTTTTTTTTTTTTTTTTTTTTTTTTTTTTTTTGCCCTATTCTCTTCAGAGAACTTTATATACATTTGTGACCTTGAAACTTTTGACCCTAGGTCAGACTTCTGACTATGCACACATTGTGTCTCGTTTTTCCACTAGTTTCTGTTCTTTTGCCTCTACTTGTTGGCCTTATAGGATTGGTAAAAAATTAATCCAGTTCCTCTACCTGCCAGCAAACTGTTCAAGAGGGTTATAACCCCCCCTATGGTTCTATTCAGACTCTATCCTTCAAGTTCCTACAAGGGACAGAAAGAGGACAAGGGAGGTCCAAAGAAGGGCAGCCACAAATTGGACACACAGACAGTGACCACTGTGAGTTGGAAGCAGAGCACTAGACAAAATGAGAAAGACAAGTTCCAGGAAAATGGGAGAAAAGACCTTTCTATGGGCTGCAAATAAGTTGAATCTTATCGGACTTTTTTCTTCTTTGACAGTGGTTTTTTGGTACTTTTAGGTGCTAGACACATGACCCACTCCTGGAAAATTGCAAAGAATAACACGTAGAGACTCCTCACCTCAGAAAGCCCAATGTTAGAGGAGACAAGAGAGGGCCAGGATAGATTTTAAAGGGAGATGACTAGAACACCTCAAATTCCACGAAACAAGCATACTGTGACTTAGCAGAACACGATATTACTTTAAACAGAGACCTGAATGTGAGAAGGAACACGTGAAGAAAGCACCTCAAGGGCACCCAAAGGAAAAATTCAATCTGTCCACCGAAGGGAATGAAGAAACCGTAATAAGTTCAGACCGCAACTCAAATCGCATAGACGTTACCACTGCCAGGGCAACCTGCCCACTGCACATTTCCCTCACCTGCTTACTAATGGTTAAAGTTTCCCTGGCCAAGCATAGTGGTGCGTGTCAGTAATCCCAGCCCTCAGGAGGCTGAGGTGGAGCATTGCTAATTTGAGCACTGGGCTACATAGTGATATAATTTTACACATAACAAAGTCCCCAACAAAGGACAACAGTCTAATCTATCCAACCAATACAAAAGCTTAAAAAAGCATCTACAGAGCAGGTAGCTTCGTGAATAATTCATATGATGGTAGAAGTAAGTTTTAACACTTAATTTCCTAAATTGAGGTTGTGCCGATGCAGATTTTGACAAGAAAGAGCTGAGAACCTAAAAGCAGATGGAGAGGAAGGGAAGAGACTGCAAAAGTGTCTGTAGAGTATTGATTGGCTACAAGAGAGACGGGTCTGATTGTGAAGAGCTGAAGCATTTTCTGTGTCTTTTATAAGCTAAGTGACACATTACTGCATAGTATTATCATGTACGAGTGTTTCACTGGGCCTATTTATCAGTGTGTGTGTATGGCCAGCATACAGAATTGTCATCTGCTCTTCTTTGTTTCAATTTGCAGCACATCAATATTCCACATGGACCTCAATGTGAGAGGTTCAAACTGCTGGCAAGAACAGACTGTAATCTACACAACTCACCCATGTGCCAGGACAGCTCAGATTCTCACCCGCAGGCCAAAATGAGTCTGAATCTGTTTTGTTCTCAAGCAGAGTTTTTCTTCTGTTTCAGTCCCAGCCACTGTAAATCATCTCAAAGGATCCAATCGGAACACGACAGACAGCCTTTGGTTCAGCTGGAGTCCAGCCTCTGGTGACTTTGACTTCTATGAGCTGATTCTCTACAATCCCAATGGCACAAAGAAGGAAAACTGGAAAGACAAGGGCCTGACAGAGTGGCGTTTTCATGGTCTCATCCCCGGAAGGAAGTACACGCTGCATGTGGTGACTCACAGTGGAGATCTCAGCAATAAAGTCACAGGGGAGGGCAGAACAGGTGAGGCATCCAGACAAGAAATGACTTCTAAAGGTGCATTTGAATGATAAGACATAATGTCAATAACAGTGTGCCATACACTAGCCTCTGAACTTGCAAAGGCACTGTGATTCAGTGGATAAAAGCTACACAATTTGGGGCTGGGGAAATGGCTCAATGGCTCACAAGCTTGAGGATCTGAATTTGAATCGCCAGAACCTAAGTGAAGCTGGGTATGTTAACACATGTCTGTAATCCCAGTGCACTCCTATATCAAGACAGGAAGTGGAGACAGGAGAATTCCCAGAAGCTCATGGGCCAGCTAGTCCAGTGCACATAGCGGCAAACAACAGAAAGACCCTGCCTCAAACAAGGTAGAATTTGAGGACTGACACCTGAGCTTGTCCTCTGACTGCCACACACGCATTGTGGAACACCCGCACACATCCTCGCACATGGGAGCATGTACAAGCACATACATGCACGCATATCACACAAACACATTATACACAGACATACACACAAAGACACATACTTTAGTTTAAAAAAAGAATCAGTTTCTTCACTTAGCACTGGCCACTCACCTGTATGGAAAAGGTAGATAACTGAGCATCCCTAAGCCTCGCTTTTCATATCTGTAAAGAAACATCATTATTGTGTTGCTATACTTAGTCTGCCCTGTATCTTTTATGTCTTGGGCACACATAGATGATGTTTATATCCTACCTGGAGTCAATCTTCAAGACTATCTAAAACTGGATACAACTGTCCATGAACCCCAGGCTTGCTGCCCCCAAATCTGATGAAATTAATACCTTTTCACACATGTAACCCATTCATTCATTTTCTATAGCACCCTGGTAAGGAAACTATGGTTATGGATATTAAAGACATATAAAAATGCTACAGTAAAAAAATGCCGTTTTCACGGCAAATACTATCAAAGAAAGTTCCTATTCCTGTTATCAGGTTATTCCTTATTAAAGTATAATTAGAAATAGATCTGATGTCACTCAGTGCTCTGATTATCTATGTTACAGCACAAATATAATTTTGTGTGTTTTTTTCCATTTGATTTTACATATAGCCCCAAGTCCCCCCAGTCTTTTGTCATTTGCTGATGTTGCAAACACTTCCTTGGCCATCACCTGGAAGGGACCCCCAGACTGGACAGACTACAGTGACTTTGATCTGCAGTGGCTCCCCAGAGATGCACTCACTGTCTTCAACCCCTACAGTAACAGAAAATCAGAAGGACGTATTGTATACGGTCTTCGTCCAGGGAGATCCTATCAATTCAGTGTCAAGACTGTCAGCGGAGATTCCTGGAAAACCTACAGCAAACCAATTTCTGGATCTGTGAGGACAAGTACGGATTGTTTCAGGACTTTTGAGTTTCAGGTGGAATGAGGCAACTTTTTATTCCAGTGGGGCTTGGTTTGAATCCAAAGTTTTGAGATTGGTTGGATTTGGATTTCAGGTGGATTTCTCCATAATTCCTTCATTTTTTTCTTTTTTGGCCTTTTTGAGACAGGGTGTCTCTGTAGCCCCAGCTGGCCTGGAACTTGCTATGTAGACCAGGCTGACCTCGAACTCATAGAGATCTGCCTGCCTCTGCATCCCAAGTGCTGGGATTAAAGCGCATGCACCACCACACCTGGCGATGTCTTCATTTTTTAAATTTTATCAACAATGCAAAACACAGAAATAATCTCCACCTCATGTGGGAAGTACTACATTGATAGGCAGTTATATTTTAGGTATGAAATAGAAATATACGTCACTTAAAATTCATATTAGAGGCATCTGACCCAAAACAAAGAAGCTTCCTAGAAGAAGGAAATCCTGATTGAACCCTACAGGGAGAGCAAAATTCACCAGGAAGAGGTGGGGGAAAGAAATGGAAAATAGGTAGAGAAAAAAATATTAGAAGACCAGGGAACAGGGAGAGAAATGCAGCAACCGAGGAGCAGAAAGGAGTTTAATTGGCCAGAGTGTGGAGACAGAGAGAATCAGATGAGAAATCACTGTACATGCTGCTGTGGTACCCGCTGTGGTCTTCATTCAAGACCCATATCAGCAGAGGTAGCATAATCATATTTACATTCTAGAAAGTCACTGCGGGTACCTATAGAAAACAGATTGATAGATTGCTTCTAGTTTTCTGCAGGAAAGATTGAAGGAGGGAGACAGAAGTTCATTCCTAAAGGATCACAAGTCAGTAATGTTATTTCTTCCCCTCCTCAGTAAAAGGGCTCACATTTATCAAGTAATTACTCTGCCAGCCTCTGTTCTAGGTAGTTGTGCCCTTTTCCACCATTGAGTCATTAAAATAACCATATGAAGTAGAAACTCTTACTTTCCTCTTGTACAGATGGATTATAAAGGAGGAAAGTCATTTATCTAAAAGTACCTAGTCAAGAGACTTTTGTGTTCAGGCTGGTAAACTTCAATTTTAATTTCTAAGGTACTCTGCTTTACCTTCTGTCCAACTTCTGGTCAGTCGATTTCAGTATCCTCATATGCATTTGTTTTACTAGCAATTTTCTAAAAAGACAGTATTTTAACTCTTAGTGGGGTTTTTATTGTTGTTTTGTTTTGTTTTGTTTTGCAGTCTTGGGGAAAGAATCCATGGCCTTGCCCAAGTTTGGCAAGTGCCCAACCTGTGAGCTATATCCCAACCACATTTTAACTTTTGTTTTTGTATTTATTTTTTATTTATTTGTTTATGTGTGTGTGTGTGCATGCACACGCATGAGCATATGTATGTGCACAAATGCAACAACACACACAGCTTAGTAGCAAGTGCTGTTACCAACCTAGCCATCTCACTGGCCCCATTTTAACTTTAAATGTTTTTCCGAAGTGGGGTCTGGCAGGCAGAAATTTCCTTGAAGATTCATAAAAATATTTTCATCAAAACACAATCCAGTAAATTGTGAGTACTATTTGTTTAAACTTCAGAGCTAGCTGGTCCCAAAGGTGCTGGGGGAAAATGTGTCTCCCAGATTGCTGAACTGTGTTTCTTCCCTTCCATAGAGCCAGACAAGATACAAAACCTGCACTGCCGGCCTCAGAACTCTACAGCCATTGCTTGCTCTTGGATCCCACCTGATTCTGACTTTGATGGCTATACCATTGAATGCCGCAAAATGGACACCCAAGAAATTGAGTTTTCCAGAAAGCTAGAGAAAGAAAAATCTCTACTCAACATCATGATGCTAGTGCCCCATAAGAGGTACCTGGTGTCCATCAAGGTGCAGTCAGCAGGTGTGACCAGTGAGGTGGTTGAAGACAGCACCATCACCATGATAGACCGTAAGTGTCCCCAGAGGTCTGTCCTGGGCCTCCTGCCATGTAGGGTGGAGGTCTTTGCACCTCTCTCTGTCATATCCGTAGGGTGGCGGACTTTGCACCTCTCTCTGTCATAATCCCTCACTCCCCTTCACATGTAGTCCACTTGCACATAAGAAGCCTGTCTTGTAACCACCTGGAGATGAGGATCAAAAGGCTTCAGAAAAATGGCAACATTTCTCTGGTCTCTGACAACAAACAAGTCGATTATCTTAAAGTACCTGAATGAGTTAGTATTTAAATATATTACCCTGCCTGATCTAGTTAGAGCTATAATGGAGCTTTTAAGCAATTTGAAGCTACAACTGTAGGAAATCCTGCTGAGGAGCTGCCTCTTTCATTAAGTTTAACGTGCCACAGGCAAATCACTCCCTCTGCCTAACTCTCCTCAGGAGAGGAGGGGAATTTCTTTATGAAGGCTTTAATCACAAGCACTCATGCACAGACGCTGAGGGAAATGACTACAGACTCATTTCTCTGACCTGTTCAGGAGGTGAAAGCAGCCTTGTGACCTCTCTTGGCTCCTTCCCCATCTCTTTTTCCAGGCCCTCCTCCACCACCTCCACATATTCGTGTGAATGAAAAAGATGTGCTAATCAGCAAATCTTCCATCAACTTTACTGTCAACTGCAGCTGGTTCAGCGACACCAATGGAGCTGTAAAATATTTTGCAGTGGTGGTGAGAGAGGCTGACGGTAAGTTATGATGAATTACCAACTCTGAGACCCAGAATTGCCTTCTTTAAGGTCATGTGAGGGCTCCTTCTATGACAAAGTTTGGAGAGTAGAGAAGCTAATTTTTATAATATTCATCTCTGTCGCTGCCAGATTCAGAGAGATTTTTTAAAAAGCTGCTCAGATGCTGTTTTAGCAATGAACCCTATTTTCACTGGGGCATAATGGTTAAATGGGAGGGAAATAATAAGAACAACAACAATAGCAATAACCATCAAGTTAAGTGGGCATAGTGGCCCATATGTATAAACCCAGCACTAGGGAGGCTGAGACAACAAGATTGCCATGAGTTCAAGGCCATCCCAGGTTACATACCTAGACCTATCTCTAAATAAATAAATAGATAAATAAATAACTATCATTTATAGAACCCATGCTCTTTTGCAAATTGCATGGACAGCCCTCTTAGCTACTTTGCAATCTGACTTACTCCTGCAATCTGACTTAAGTTGGTTGGTTGGTTTATTGTCACTAAGTAGCAATATGCTTCAACTCTCTCCACCAACCACATCCTCCTAAACCAACCATTAATTCACAAAAATTTCCCAAAACTTGGCAGAGGGAAAAGATGTTCATTTACTGAATTTTGGCTGTTTTGTTTTTATTATTGTTTGTTTTTGAAACAAGATCTCAAGACTTCTCACTCCATAGCCCAAACTGGCCTCAAGCTAATTATCCTCCTGCCTCAGGCTCCTGAGTACCAGGATTTACAGGCATGAACTACCACACCATCTCTGAATTGTTAACAATATGCTTCATTCTTTATTTTTCTAGAACTCAGTGGTTACCCAATTCCCACAAACTAGACAAATGCTAGATAATAACGATCACACCACTCCATACAACCTGAATTGTGACCTGAGTGTGACCTTTGGAATTTATTATACATCATTTTGTCAAATCACCCATAGGAAGTACATATTTGGGTACATATATCCATGTATGCACCTGCCATTGAGGTCTTAGATGTTAATTCTCCAAAAGAGAGGCCTGTGCCTGCAGTGATGTGGATCTGCCTTACCTTCCTTATATTTTTTTCATAACAATTATTTATGGTGCTCTAGAGGAGTTTCTTAAGCATCCATGACACATTTTGACCCATTTACACATAACAGGGATAAACATGACAAACATTTGGAACAATTTCTGGACTAAATAGTATTTTAGTTTCACTGGCTGTTTAACAGTCTGTGTGCTTTTACATTCTATTTAATTGTATTAAGTTAGCTATGCATAATTAATTAAATAATTTCAAGGGTCAATGGTGCATTCCAGATTTTCTCAGACCCTGTAATTGAAGATAAATTTGTGAGCTGTGAACAGACTTTAATTAGGCAACAATGAAGGTACCATTTTTCCTACATGAATGTAAGGCAGTGACCAGAAAATTCACATCCAGCAGAGCAGCCTTGTGTTTTCAGCCAGGCAGGCTTCCACTATTGATGTCCACAGAGGTGGGTGATGGTCCCTTGGAGACCTAAGGTAACCAACCATCTATACACACTCATCCTAAACCCATCTTTCTTTTTCATCTACTTCCAAAAAAATAATATCTCCATTTCATAGGCTATGACAGAGATCCACAACTGGTCAGAATGCAGAGAATAGGTGACAGTGGAGTCCCCGGCCCTAACTGATACATCTATACTGCGACCCCTACACCCAAGGCTCAGGGAACATCTCAGAAGGAATAGACAGATTCTAGAGCCAGAGAAACAGGACACCTGCTTCTAGATGATGCATTCTAGACATGATAGGGAAGCTGCACCTATGCAATCACCACAGTGTGGTTGCCTAAGCAAGACTTGCATAATGACACCACCACCTGACATGTCAAGGTGGATGGGAGAAATTTCATGGGGGTCCTACCTCTAGATAAAGAGCTAGAGGTGATCAATGGATGCTGAGGGAAGGAGACTCAGTTTTCTCTAGGGACAAGTTCCCTGATAGGTTATCTAATTCCAAGTGGTCAGCCCTAAACACAGCTACACACAAGCACCACTAAATGGACTCATTGCATTATATATGTATAGTTGTAAATGTATGTGTGTATATGTAACAATAATAATCAAAGAGGACAGGAAATTGAGGAACAGGGGGAACTAGGGTAGAAATGATGTAAATATAATACTCGTGTATGAAATTCTCAAAAAAATTTAAAAATTAATAAATTTAAAAACTAATATCTACACTTCAGGAAAAGCAAATTAATGACAAAACAAACGGCCAAAGGCAAGAAGCCATCTGTCATCTGGTCTTAAGTATGCTGGTCCAAAGGGGGCTCTACTAGCTAACGGATGTTGAGGAAGGGGTATAAGGAAGGAGGGGAACCGGAGAACCTTTTGAAAAGTAGCTAATGTTTAGTCTCGGTGATGGGGACTTAGGAAGAGGAAGATAGAAGTAAAGAAGAGCCCTTATGGCTCTGACTGGAGCCTCTCTAAAATGGAGGTTAGAAGCATAATTTTGGGAGGATCTCCACTCTTAGAATTCATCCCTCTTGATCCATTTCTTCTCTGTCCACCAATCTGCTTCTTCACACAGGGCATAAATAAAACACCAATAAAATAGAATAAAAACAATATTTCTAAGATCCACTCACTGTAGCAAATCTTACTAAAGAGTTTGGGATGTTGTGACAAACTCTAGTCCCACTTCCTGAAGATCATTAGAAATGGCATTCCATCTCTATAAGATTTAACTTATGGACTGGAGAGATGGCTCAGCGGTTAAGAACACTGGCTGTTCTTGCAGAAGACCCAGGTTCGAATCCCAGCACCCACATGGCAGCTAACAACTGTCCATAACTCCAGTCCCAGGGGATCTGACAGCCTCTTCTGACCTCTGCGGGCATTGCATGACATGGGTGCACTTATCTACATGCAGGCAATGCACACATACACATAAAATTTTAAAAAATAAGTAAAATTTTAAAAAAATAAAGCCAGGCATGGTGGCACATGCCCTTAATCCCAGCAACTTGGGAGGCAGAGGCAGGCAGACGTCTATGAGTTCAAGGCCAGCCTGGTCTACATAGTGAGTTCCAGGACAGCTGGGGCTACAGGGAGACCCTGTCTCAAAAAGACCAAAATAAATAAGTAAATAAATAAATAAATAAGACTTAACTTATTAATTTCATCTCTCCCCCCAACTAACATAAAAACTAGTTCATAGTGCCAAAACACACAGCAGACTGAATGGACAAGGAACGTGGTCTGGGAAGTGCTCAACTTGGGGGAACAGATTTGAGCCAGGATCAAATTATGTTCAAGATAACAGAGTCACACAGAGAACAATAATAAGACTGGGTATGGCATGTTGTCCTTGGGGGCAACTGCTCTGGCCTAGGACATGATTGTTCTTATCTCTTCTCTATTTCCCAGGTCGTTAGAATTTCCTTATTAGCTCAACTCCAGTGGTTTTGGCAAGGTAGAGCTATCACTGAGCTACTTTCTAGAGTTGTAGGACATATTATTATTTGATTCAATTGATTTGATTTTCTAGAAAACTGATTGTATAATATGCATAATAAATACACTTAATTTATACTTTTTTTAAAATAGTTTCATAGCATCCTTTGAGATCATAGACTCTGTATTACGGGATGACTAAAGATAGTTGATGAGCCAGCAGCCTTGGAAACCTAGTCATAAATCACTCAAGTCTCAAGAACACCAGTCTAACTGTGGTTTTCTCCCCCAGGCAGTGATGAGCTGAAGCCAGAACAGCAGCACCCTCTCCCTTCCTACCTGGAGTACAGGCACAATGCCTCCATTCGAGTCTACCAGACCAATTATTTTGCCAGCAAATGTGCTGAAAGTCCTGACAGCAGTTCTAAGAGTTTTAACATTAAGCTTGGAGCAGAGATGGATAACCTTGGTGGGAAATGCGATCCCAGTCAGCAAAAATTCTGTGACGGACCACTAAAGCCACACACTGCCTACAGGTTAGATGCATTACCATCATTTGCTGGAGAGACAAGCTACATTATGAGGTGTTCAGCTGTCTGAGCATCTGCTGCATATGAGCTTCTGTAGATTAATAGCCAATCTTATGAGAGTACTCTATATTTCAGTGAGTAATTTATAAAACTTGGGATCCTTCCTCCATTCACAGGTAATGTGCAAAGAGGACTTTCAGCCTTGTGCAAAAGCTCCAAATCATTATGTGAAGCACTGAAGGCTTTTAATAGACTATTCTTTCTCCTATAGCTGCTTTAGTGTGAATCAAATAATTTATTATGTTCGCTTTTTAAAAATGTTCAAATAGACTGAGTTTAGGCAGAGCCAAACAATATGAAGCTCTGTCTTCCACTTTTAATGAGGAATGAAACTATACTTAGTTTCTAAGGTGTGTAAAAATGAAAATGCTCTATGGTCCAGGCAGAACTCTTAAAGGAAAAAGACAAAACTCTTGAATGAATGGCAACACCTGTTCCTCCCTTCGAGGTGGCAGATGAATGGAGCAGCTGTTCAGTGTTGGTCCCGAAGTAGCACAGCTGCAGCCAACAAGCCCTTCCAGCCCTAGGAATTGGAGGCACTCTTCTTCTGCACCAAAAAGCGAGTAGACTCAGACATGTTTAACACCACAATGAGCACCCTCAAGCGAAAGGAAACCTAGGTAATTGTCTTAGATAATAAGATTGCAGACGTGCGAAATTACTTCTGCAGGAGATGGACCTCTGCGGTGTTGGACAATCTGATGTAGCAGCCAGTCAGGTTCTCTGTGAGCCGAGGTCTGACTGATTCTTAGATATTTTAAGTATCACTCTTAGGTCTCAATAGAATTTTTTCTGCCAGTTCCAAAAGGAGACTGTGGTATAATATCACACCTAAGGGAGTTCTTCACAAAAACTCTTGAATGAATGGGAACACCTGTTCCTCCCTTCGAGGTGACAGATGAATGGAGCAGCTGTTCAGTGTTGGTCCCCAGGAAGTGCAGCTGCAGCCAACAGGCCCTTCCAGCCTGTTGGAGGGGCCTCTCCACATCAACAAAGGCAGGCAGATGATTTCCCTAAAACAAAAGACTCACTAGACTCACTTTGGGCAAGAACTTGATATAGGTGCCAGGATGGGCACCAGATCCCTGTTACTGCTCAGGCAAGGCTGTGACCACCAAAGAAAAAGTGAACAAATGCAGGGATATTTACTTCAAGAAAAGGCCATGAATCTACTTAAAGGAGATCAGATCCTGGACAAAGCAAGCAAGAAACATAAAAGGGACCAGAAACTGGAACCCTTCAGTCCCTGCAAGAATCAGGGAGTCTTCAGTTCCTTGATCACCTGAGTTCAAAGAACCTGAACAAAAGTCTCCCAGGACTGTTCTACTTTAGAGATGGAGAACTAGGACTATATTTGTTCACTTACTTATGGAAAAGAGAAGGAGAGAAGATGACTTGGTACAGTAGCCCTCGTTATCCAAAGAGGGTATGTTCCAGAACCCCAGTGTCTGCTTGGAACCACAGAGAGTACTGATCCTGTCATTTCAAGCTTTTTCCATCTTAACTAAGTACTGTGATCAAACTTTTGCAGTTGGGGACTGAGACACATTTCTTATTCCTTCTTCATAATTTCACAAGCACAACGAATGTTCTTAATGTAGATCTTAACAATCTCAGCATATAAATTTTTACCTTTCAAGAACATTCACATTTTAGCTAAAGGAAGCTTCTCTTTAGTATATCTGAATTGCCAGTGCTACCACTCTATGTTTGGGGGGGGGGCATTAGTAAGTAAAGTAAGGGTTACTTGCACACTAGTATTGGGATGCTGTGGCAGTCCCTCTGATAATAAGGTGGACCCTGAAAGCTAGGGTTGGTGGAGTATTCTTGTAATCCTAGCCCTTGGGAGATAGAGGCAAGAGGATCAGGAATTCAAGAACAGCCTGCACTACATAGCAAGTTTAAGGCCAGCCAGCCTAGGCTACATAAGATCCTCCTGGGTGACTGACAGGGGTAAGAAAGCATAGTGAGGGACTGGCAAGAAGGCTTAGTTGGTAAAGAACTTGCCAGGAAAGCCTGAGGAACTGAGTTTACTACTAAAACATACATTTAAAAAGCTGGGTGCAATAGTAAATGCATGCAATCCCAGCATATGGTTATGGTGTCCCTTTTTTTCTGATTTATTTTTATTTTTATATGTATGAATGCACTGCCTGTGTATATGTAAGTGTGCCACATGCATGTAATGCTCTCAGAAGCCAGAAGAGGGCATCAGATCCCCTGTAACTGGAGTTACAGACAGGTGTTAGCCACCATGTGGCTGCTAGGAATGGAACCCAGATTTTCTGCAAGAGCAGCCAGTGCTCTTAACTATTGAATCATCTCTCCAGCCCTATGGAGTCCATTTTTTATTTTGTCCTTTTTTCTTCAGAGCTGAGGCCTGAACCCAGGGCCTTGCACTTGCTAGGCAAGAACTCTACCACTGAGCTAAATCCCCAACCCCTGGAGTCCATTTTTTAAGAGCTGTTAAGAGTTCCTGATGACTCATTAATTTTAAGCCTATAAGAGGTCACTATCTCACTATCTCCTTGGGTTCTGGAAGGTCCTCATGCATCTGCACTCATTTTGTACTGTTTATTTGTTTGTTTGTTTGTGACATGATCAGTCTCATGTAGCCCAGGCTGGTCTTAAATTTAATAAATAGGTAGCTGAGGATGATCTTGAACTCATGACCTCCTGCCTTTACTCCCCAAGTGCTAGGATTACAGGCTCATGCCACTACACTGAGCTTATAATTTGTTTTTATACCTGTGATTTTTATTTCTGAGGTGAACACAGCAAGGTGGCTGTGTTCAGTGACTTTTTTTCACACGTGAGGAAACCGAGACATAAAGAGCCTATGGGCCATTCAGTTAATTGTCTACAGAGCAAGGGCCAGACCTCAGATCCTCTGCTTCTTAGCCCAGGTTCTTTCTGCACCATCCATCTGACATAAGTTGTTAGTTTTAGTCAAAAATTAAGTGAAGAAATAGGAGGGAAAGATACATAGGAGCAGAAAATGTGGCCTTTGGTTCTTTTTCATCAGCTTTCTCTGTGATCTTGGACAAAAAGAAATGGAATTTATGCCAGCTGCAGGTTCTAAACCTCCAAAGCAGTATCATAGGCTTTTTCACTGTGCTGGAGAGAGTTGAAAATGACCAACCAAAACCATGTTCTGTACCTGTAAATACCTGTACAAATATAAGAAGCTCTTACCAGAAACACTCTTTTCAGTTTCCAAAGAATAATAAATTAGCAACACACACACTCACACACACACACCACACATCCACTTCAGGTTTAACACAATGACTACTTGTTACCCCATTAGGTAACAATTTCTATAAAACACATCAATCTATGATGGCATAAAGATAAAATTCCTAAAAATAAATGCTACCCCCACCATCAGGCAAGTCAGTCACACCTCCCCACTAAAGCCAGGCACTTTGCAATGAATTCTACGACTTTTTAGAGATAGAAATTAGAGATGTGGCTGTTCAATATCATTCCATGTTCACTTTACACTTGGACCTGGCATGAGTTGGATGGAAGGGGTAATGATTCAGAACTTTTTTCTTTTTTAAAATATTTTATTTATTTTTACGTGTATGTGTGTATTGCCTGCATGTACGTAAATGCACCCGTGTCATGCAATGCCCGCGGAGGACAGAAGAGGCTATCGGATACCCTGGAACTGAAGTTACTGACAGTTGTTAGCTGCCATGTGGGTGCTGGGATTCGAACCCGGGTCTTCTGCAAGAATAGCCAGTGTTCTTAACTGCTGAGCCATCTCTCCAGCCCCACAAATCAGAACTATTTACCATCGCCTGTACTGCTTTAGCATCATCCCAGGATATGCCCAATTTGGGATTGAACAAGTAGATTTTTAAGGGAGAAAAAAAAAGTTTGCCATTCATTTTCTCTTTTTAATTTTTTAGAATTTAAGTTTTTATGTGTATGAGTGTATTGCCTATGTGTCTGAAAGTGTACCCATGTCATGCACCTCTGTCCACCACAGAGGACAGAAGAGGCGTCAGATTCCCCGGAACTGGAGTTTAGGTCAGTTGTTAGTCACCATGTGGATGCTGGGATTCAAACCTGGGTCTTCTGCAAGAGCAGCCAGTCTCTTAACTACTGAGCCATCTCTCCAGCTCCTCATACCCATTGAATTTAAGTTAGCTTTAGCAATATTATTTCTACATAAACCAAGCTTGATACTCTTGTTAGTAGACTTACAGAGAAGGTGGGAGAAACTTGAGAAGTCACCCAAAGCAGTCTTCAGTGGAATGCAAGGATGCCTTCCTGCAGCTCCCTGAGAGCTGTATCCCCTAGCATGGGCTTGAATCCATCCCAGACTGGGAGCTCAGTACCTATGTACTGCCTCATGCTTAAAAGTTAGAAACCAACTTTGTATTCCTACACTCCTCCCTTCTTCTGACTTCAGCCTCCTGAGCTTAGTTCTACCGTCAAGAAGAAAAACAATCCTGTTTTCCTCTTCTATATGGCAGCATCTTTTCAAATCTGAAGTCAGTCTGCATGTTCCTTAAAGTCTTCTCTATCATAGTCCTGGTCATCCACCTCTAATGAGCTCTAATTTTTTATAAAATATGTCTCCAGAACCAGGGTAGGTGACCAGAACGGGTCAGAGTCGCACCAAGGGCATGAACTGTAGGTCCTGTAGACTCATCATAGGTTTTTCATTCATGGTGGTGCACACCTGTACTCCCAGCACAAGAAAGGACTAGAGGATCACAAGTTTGAGGCCAACGTGAACTGTATAGCAAGTTCAAGGCCAGCCTAGACTATAGAGTAAAATTCTTATACCATAGGAGGGGCAGAGAGAAAGACCGCTTCTCTATCCCACGGCTCCCCTTGTCCTCCAGCTGCTCTTCTGTTCACAGCACCCATTACCATCGGACAAATTATGTCTGTCAGTTTACTGTGACTTCCTCCATGGGATTGTGGCTTCAGGAATGGTAGGGACTTTGATTTGTTCCTCAAATTATCCCTGGCTACTAGAAAAAAGGACCAGAACAGTAAGGATTTTACTAGAAGCTCAGTGAGTATTTCATGAGCAAATCAGGGAAGGACTGCAAAACCCAGGTCTGTCTGGTTCCATAATTCACAGCCAACTCTGCATACACAACAACAAAGTGCCCGCTCTTATATGTAATTTTTAGCACATCTTACTGAGCTCAGCCAGAAATTTGCACTTAAATAAGTTTTTTTCTTTTCAGAATCAGCATTCGGGCTTTTACTCAGCTGTTTGATGAAGACTTGAAAGAGTTCACAAAGCCCCTCTATTCAGACACATTTTTCTCTTTGCCAATCACTACTGAGTCAGGTAAGACTAACCTTTCCATCTACCCACACTCTCTCCCAGTCACCATGTTACCTACAAGAGCCTTTAGTGGGGAGGTGTGGTGACCTCACCCTTGACGGTAAGGGGACATTTATTTTCCTTTCATGTGATCATAGATTGATGTAGATTAGAGAGATTGCACCAGTTCTGTAGAACAGACTGGAAAGGAATTAATCTAGAAAAGAAGGTAGAAGTACAAGATATTTTTCCACTACAAATGAATGAAAACCATTTTATTAAGTGAATGAAAACCATTAAAATTAAAAGCTTGAGAAGGACAAAATCTAAGTTGATCCAAAGGGCTGTCTGTTGTAGGTGGGACTGAATATCTGTATAAAAACAGCTGGCCCTCTGTAGCCACAGGTCCACCATTTTGTATCAAAAATATTCAAGAACCAAATTATGTTTGTAATTAAGTATAAAAAATTTTCTTTTGGGGGCTGGAGAGATGGCTCAGTGGTTAAGAGCACTGATTGCTCTTGCAGAGGACCCAGGTTCAATTCCCAGCACCCACATGGTGGCTACGAACCATCCTTAACTCCAGTTCCAGGGGAATCCGAAGCCCTCTTCTGACCTCCGCAGCATTGTATGGCATGGGTGCACTCACATACATGCAGGCAATACACTCACACACATAAAATAAAAATAATAAAATATTTTTTAAATTTTCTTTTCATGCCTTTGTTCTCTAAATGATATAGCATATCAACTGCTGACATAGCATTTATACTAGCGGTATTAAAAGCAATCTAGAGGTGTCAAAGTAACCAAGGGAATGTATGTAGATTATATGCAAATACTGCACCATTTTATATAAGGACTTGATTTGGGTATGGGTGGAGTCCTGGAGCCAATCAGACACTGAGGGACAACTACACATGTAAAAGAGGGGGAAGAAGTATTCATTCGGAATATCCCAAAGGAGTGGGGTTATAGGTGATTTTTCCTCCTTTTGTTTATTATGTTTTCTTTTAAATTATTTTATAATGTTGGGCCAGTGGGATGGCTCAGCAGGAAAAGGCACTTGTCACCAAGTCTCACAACCTGAGTTAGATTTGCACATGCCTACCATGGCCCTGTCTCTCAGTATCCTCCATGTTGAGAACAGCATGGCTCCTATCACCTTGCTCCATGATACCATCATGTCCCAGGTTTCCTGGAGCTAGTGTGTAACAGAGATCGGCCTCTTGGTCTGGGGAAGTTGTTTAGAGGTAAACAGTCTCTCCTGCTACGTGACAGAAGATGGTTCCCCTCACAGACCTTCCAGTGTGTTTACACCAACCACAGGGATAATCTCCTGGTTTTCAGGCCAAAGAAGGATCAGAACCCAGTTAAGAAGATTTAGATGTGTTTGTTTATAATTTACTGTTAGGTAGACACTTACTAAACACAGTTCTTTCTGGTTTGAAGTACTGTGATGCAACAAAAATTTTATGTACTCCAGTAAAAGAAAACACTAAATATTCAAAACAGAATCTATTTTTTTTTTTTTTTTTTGGTTTTTTTGAGACAGGGTCTCCCTGTAGCCCCAGCTGTCCTGGAACTCACTATGTAGACCAGGCTGGCCTTGAACTAGCAGAGATCTGCCTGCCTCTGCCTTATTTGATGAGTAATGAAAGGAGATGTGGAATAAGCAGATCTGAGTTTAAAAATGGAGCTTCAAAATGGGTTACTCCACAGACCTAAACAGGAGAGGCAACATTGTATAGCTTTTGAAAAGAAAACACTAGAATAAATCTGTTGGACTGCAGACTATGAAATAATCTCTTAGGTAAAACAAAAAAACAAGCAAACAAAAGAAAAGTAAATTAGAGTTAATCAAAATTAAAAGCTTCTGTATTTGAAAGGATAGCATCTAACAAGTGAAAAGACAGCCCACAGAATGGGAGAAAATATTTGTAAAACAAGGATTGAGTACCCACAAAGAACTCTTAGCTTGCAATTCAATAAGAAAGACAAATAAAGCAATCTAAAAATGTACAAGTGGCTAATAAACATCTGAAAAGATGTTCTAGGTGATTAGTCATTAGCGAAATGCAAATCAAAACCACAGTAGGAAGCTGCTCTGTGACCACTAAATGACTAGAATCTAGAAGACAAGGTCAGGCACAGTCACCCACAACTTTTAACAACAGCACTTGGGAGGCCAGCCTGGTCTACCTAGCAAGTTCCAAGCCAGCCAGGGCTACATGGGAGATAGTGTTGAAACAAAGAAAGAAAGAGAGAGAGAGAGAGAGAGAGAGAGAGAGAGAGGAGGGAGGGAGCGAAGGAGGAAGGAAGGAAGAGGCTACTTTTTCTGTTCCTCATCATCAGTAGCAATATCATACCAGATAATAAAAGTGAGATTTTGTTAAAATAACTCTCAGCAATTGACTGGATTTTCTAAAGCCCCAGTGCTATGTAAAACTCTTCAAAAAAATAAAATAAAATAAAATCACATCTTTATCTTTTGGAAAACATTTGGCATTTAATTCAGGTGCCCCAAGTTTTATGTACAAGCACCAGGTCAAATTTCCTTTCTAAGCTATACAGTACTTTTAAATTCAAAAGTTAATGAATGCTAACCCTGGAAATCCCTGCCTGTAACAGGATAGAAGCCATCGCTCTATCCCAGCTGATGCTCGGGACCTTTCTAGAGTCAATACCTCACCCTGGCTATCTTGAATTGTACTTGTAATAACATAGCTTTTGTAGTCTATTGAGTTATAATTCAGACACCATACTGGTTCACTGCCATTAATTTTCCCTTTTGTTTGTTGTTTCCACTGGCTTATTGTAGAGCCCTTGTTTGGAGTTATTGAAGGTGTGAGTGCCGGTCTGTTTTTGATTGGCATGCTGGTGGCTCTTGTGGCCTTCTTCATCTGTAGACAGAAAACTAGGTAAGTATGAAGATCCCTTTGGTGATTGACCCCTCAAGTGCAGAGATGCAATGGAAATGCCCCATAACCTGAAAAGTTACGATGGAAAATAATTTGGTTTCTCCAGATTAAATTACCATAGTTTCGTTAGGAAAAACAAAAGTCATGACTTGCTGTTCTTCAGTTCCCCTATGTACTGTTGATGAACTTGGCCCTCACCAATGAATGTGAGACCATCTGTAGATTTATTTAAATATGCACAGGCAAACAAATAGGGGTTTGTTTGTGTCCTCATGAAGACAGAGATGTTTGCAAGTTTTGTGCTGCTTTCCTGAAGCATAGCCTGGAAAGCGTGGAGAATACGACCATTTGAGGCTTTGTATCTGCCATGCCAATTCAAAAAAAAAAAAAAATGAAATAGTATACACTTCCAATACCACGCCCTCTTCATTTAATTATTCTTTTTCCACTTTCTGCTCTCTCTTGCAGTCGTGTCTGGCATCTGAGGTTTACTGGTTTAGGGAATATTTTAAGGAAAGTTTTATTGAGAGTGTGGGAAGTGATTATGACCTGCAGCCAGAAGCCAGGAGACAAATCTTCAGTTATTCTGGAGATGTATTCCTGAGTGGGAAAGATGACTTTTATGTTTTCCCACCTCCTTTTCCTCCCTCAAAGAGTTGTTGGTTGAGTGCAGGCTTCCACAAGAACTGAAAAAATCACATTTGCACAGCGTGCACAGCCTTAGCATGAATGGGAAAAAAATCGTCCAAACCAAGAAGCATAATTAGAATTTTAAAAATCTGTGCCTTATGTTTCAGCCATGGTCGAGAAAGGCCATCTGCCCGCCTGAGCATTCGAAGGGATCGACCTTTATCTGTCCACTTGAATCTGGGCCAGAAAGGGTAAGTGCCAAATGTTCCTTCATTAGTTTATTGGAAGGTGATATTCTGTGAGAGTCACTAACAAGGTCTTTCTTTCTTTCTGACTCACAGCAACCGGAAAACTTCTTGGTAAGAGAAAACTTATTAATTATTATGTTATCTGCTTTTGAAATGCAACTCAGACTGGTTTTAGCATTTTTCCCTTTCCCAGTAACTTTCTTTTCCCTTTGTTTCATTTTTAATTGCAGTCCCATAAAGGTAAATCAGTTTGAGGGGCATTTCATGAAGCTGCAGGCTGACTCCAGCTACCTCCTATCCAAGGAATATGAGGTACAGTGAAGCTTTTGCACCCCAATCTTCAGAATTTCCCTCCTGATCTTTACTGTGGAATCATGGTTAGGATGCTCAGGGTCTCAGCAGAGAGCCTGTAGTGTCTACAACCATTCCTTGAACGACATTCCTAGTCTCCCAGGCCAGTGAGTCCAATAGAGTCACAAGTAAAGAACTAACAAATTTCAAATGCAATACTATCGATGACACAGCTTGACTGTTTGCTGGCCTGGAAAACTATGTAAGTTGGCAAAAGGCAGCTTCGAATGTGATTCTCAGTTTGGCCACACGTGTGTCCTGGGGCATGTTAGTTATCCCAACTAAGCGTCATCTGCAAGACGGGAACAAGCACACCTCCTGTGTGGGGCTGTGGAAAAGATCAGCGCTAATGCATGTGGAATAGTGGGTGTTCCATAAACTGTAGCTCATGGGCATATCTTTACATGACTATGTATCTCAAGCACTGTGTGATTTACTTGGATCTATTTTATATTCTCCATTTGCAAACTTTTTTTTTTAAACCCTATCAGGACTTAAAAGATGTGGGTAGAAACCAATCCTGTGACATTGCCCTCTTGCCTGAGAATCGAGGAAAAAATCGATACAACAATATACTGCCCTGTAAGTCTCATGCTGGAAAGTGGAACCTATCTTCTAGCATTAGAGCTATCTTCCAGCAATAAAAGGGGGTGGAGCTAAAGAAATAGAATATTTTACATTGTGTGTGCATGCGTTGTTTGTGTGTGTTGTGTGTGTGTGTGTGTGTGTGTGTGTGTGTGTCTGTGTGTGGTAGAGCCAGGTATCAAAGAGCTCAAGCTCTTATTAACTCTAATAAAGGATGATTTGAATATAACTGCACCTAAAAAATTTACAGCCACTGTAAATGCTGGTTATGAGACAACAGTATGCTGAAGAGCCAGAGTGTTCTGATTCCACTTTGGCTAGCTTCTTTAGACAAGACCAGACAAGCTCAGGCATATTGTACATGTAAAAGCCTTATAAGGTATGAACAAAAACTTCTAACTCTAAAAGATATTAGTTAGCACATTCCAATGCCCTGAAGACGGCCCCTACCAATCAAGACTCCCCCCATACACAGGATATGGGGACATCCAATTATTTTAAAAAGATGCTTGGTGCGCACGGGTTTCTGTGGAGTGCCCCAATAAAAGCTCCTGCCTGCTATTGTCCGGGGCCAGACTCCATCTTTGGCTCATGAAGTCTGTGCCTGGCTAGCCGCCATTTGGTTGTTGTCTCTTTTTTTTTTTTTACTTTAAATTCTTTAATAAACTTTTTGTATAATCTTTTTGGGTATCTGTGAGAATTATTCTCGAGTCTCGAACCCTAACATATGCTATTGGCATTTTCTTGTGTATTCCCACTTAATGTTTCTCCTTGGGAACTCTGTGCATCAACAGAGTTAAGAATAAGGTTCTAGCATCAAGTTTATCTGGGTTTATTCCAGAAAGTCTCTAGTTAGTGACTTTTCAGAAGAGTAGCCTGCCCTATTAGATAAAGTAATAGGAGGTAGTTTTTCTGGATCATATTCATTCCATAAGTGAAAGAGAGCTGGTCACTGTATTAGACAAATGTCATGATGTTGCAACAGAAAGTACAGATGGGACTTCACATTGTCTCCTGTGTCTATTGTCCGTGCACACCAGTGCCACCTGCAGCAAGCTATTTATATCATCAGAGCCCCACTGTAACATGGACATACGAACACTTCTCTTGGGCCTGCAGTGATCAGAGATAGGGCAACCAAACACCAACATTACGTAAACAGAAAAATCACTCCAAGACCCACAGCCAGTCTTTATGAATCTCCTTCCAGATGACGCCTCAAGAGTGAAGCTGTCCAACGTAGACGATGACCCTTGCTCCGATTACATCAATGCCAGCTACATCCCTGTAAGTGAACTGCCAGGTCACAGTGCCCAGGGTGAAGCTTTAATGGTGGCTGCACTAGAGGTGCCATGCCTTCTGTATTGCCCCACTGTTAGGCCTATAAACACTTGCAGATTGTAGAAGACCATGTCTCACTGCCATAAAATAATCTCAATCTCTGCTATGCCCTGTTTTTTTCACAATAGCCATGGTAATACACAATTATCATGAACCCAGAATGCATTTTCAAAGATTTTCTCTCTGCAGCTCTGAGATAAAATTAGAGCTCCTCAAGGGAGATAGGCTAAGGCTGACAAGCCAAAGGGGTCAACCTCATATTGTTTGGACTTTTGAAAAGCACAGACACACTTCAAAATGTGTCAGCCTTTGGGACCTGATTCCCACTACAGTGGGAGAGACTTTAAAGGTCAGACAAGCCCAGGTTTGAGTTCCACTTCTGTCCCTGGCTGGCTCTGTGACATAGCAAGCTGTGTCACCCCTTTGGGCTCCTGTTTCTTTTTCCAAAAATGTAGGATAATACCTCAAATTATCATCTATGCATTCAATAAATACTTGCTGATTAAGTGCTATGAGTCAAACACTGAGGTCTGTAAGAGAATTGTGTCTGTAAGAGAATTCTCCCATAGCTAAGACTTGAAGGAATTACAAGGCAATGTCATGCTTATCTTTCCAGAGCAGCATCTCCAAAATTAACATGCATCAACATCACCCTGGCTGCTCCAGAGGGGATAGGTGGGGCCTGGGATTTTGCATTTCTAACAAGCCCCTGTGTGAGACCACACTGGGTAGCAAGAGGCTAGAGACTGACCTAAGAGCATCTAGGAGGAAAATGTCACCAGCCAAGCAGAGAAGGCACTTAGGATAGAGATTAGCCAGCTGAGAGGCAGTGTCGGGGTGGCTGGGTTGCAAATGGCAGAGCTGATGTAATAGAGAGATCCAGTGGAAAGGAGTGACATAAAGAGTGTCCACTAGGATTTACAAATAATTTCACACTGATGAAGTACAGGATGAGTGAGTAGCAATAGCCTGGCTCATCAAGGTTAGAATTAAGTCAAATCTGAGAAAGTCCAGACACTGCACATTATCTGGTAGAATTCAAGGAATCAATGGTTTCTTTTACATTATGTTTCCCTTGCATAACACCTCTTACCCAATTATTATTCTAATATAAAATTTCCAAAATATAAAAGACAGTTCCTGAATAGACCACACACACACACACACACACACACACACACACACACACACACCATGGGTGAAGCTTTTTCTAGATCACTGCTGGAGCCCTCCATTTTTGCCTTTTAGAATAGACACAGCTGATGAAGGAAAATGTGGCTTTTAACAGTAGTTCACTGCTCCCAATTTGTCCTTCCCAAGCCTTGACACTCGTGTTAATATCTGATTCTCAACTCCAGGGCCTGTTAGAGATCTCGTATCATCTAATCTGCAGAGCTAACTCTTTGTTTACAGTTCTGAAGAGGCCCATTGTTTCTGATTCTCCATATTGTAAATTCATTTGCAGGGCAACAACTTCAGGAGAGAATACATTGCCACTCAGGGACCACTTCCTGGCACCAAAGATGACTTCTGGAAAATGGCCTGGGAACAAAATGTTCACAACATTGTCATGGTGACCCAGTGTGTTGAGAAGGGCCGCGTGAGTAAACAACTTTCCTGACTTCCTCACTTTGCTTTCCGCTGTTCTGATGGAATTCCATCTTCCCACCTCATCCAAAGTTATACCGATAAAACCAAGTAGAGACCACTGGAGAAAGCTGTCAGTGAATTAAGACACTTTTTTTGACTCTTTGTCTGATGTTTCAGTCAAAGCTGTCTCCATGTGAAGCCTGGAATTGTCAGAAGTGCTCATGAACAGGAGGACTTCCTGACCGCACACATCCTCTGTTCTTCAGAGTACATTTGAGAAAGCCCCGACAGGGTCAAAGGGCCTGTCTCTGTCTCAGAAAAGCAGTATCTTAGGCCATATTGGTAGACACAAAATAAAATAGTTATCTGGACTAATATTCAAACCTCTTATATTTATAATCTCCGTTTATAATTTTTTATTTTAGGATAAAAAAGGACTAAGTGTGCAACACTCAGTAAATACATGTTGGATTCAGACATATTTTTTGATCATCCGTGCTGGACTAAGACTTTATATCTTCCTCTGCAAGATTAGCCTTATTTGATACTATTTATATAGAGACATATGTTAACTATATGTGCTAATGAAACAGCTACATTATGTACATGGAGCCATAATTCATCAATATACACATGTAACTACTTACATATGCCTGCCTATGGTGCCTCACCATACTCAGTATAATAAAAGCCATGTCAAAAGCACTTGATATACAACTACACATGGAAATAGAAAAAAAAGTATATATTAATCAAGTATCATATAAAACACATCAATTTAAGTTATATAGGCTTCAAAACAAAATCTAAAAATAAATATAATCTCCTTTCTCCTCTCTTTGTACATGCAAAGACAAGTTTAGCTGAACGTTCTAAATTCTCAGAGATCTCTTGGCACATGGCATAGGTCAGGAAAGTGATAAAAATATGAGCAAAATAGACCCAGGAAGACAATACGTTCCTCTGCCTGGCTAGGTCTTTCTTCTGAAAGAACAACATTTCTTTCTCCTTCTCTTTGATATTGTGACCCAGTGTGTGGAGAAGGGCCATGTTGAGTGAACAGCTTTCCTGACTTCCTCGCTTTGATTTCCCACTCTTCTGTTGGAATTCCAACTTCTCACCTCATCCAAAGTTATACCCACAAAACTAAGTGGAGACCACTTGGAACCCAGAACTTCATGTTATGCAAGCCCTCTGACACTGAGCTATATCCAGGTCCAAGAACAAGACGTTTTAAGTCATGGTTTATCTCTAATGGGACTGGAACACTGAGGAAATCATTGAGAGAAAAACAAAAACTTCAAGCCATATAACACTGTCTGAAAATTGAACAAATGCAAAGATTGGGCTGGGGCCTGCTTTTTGGACAGTGTCACTCTATCACTTGGAACAGCAGCCCAACATCAACACTGACTGTCTGCAGGTCAATGGAAAGTAGATGGTTAAATTGCTTCAGAGCTGATCCTGGATCCCTAATTCAGGAAGAGATTTCAAGGATAAGACTCTGGGTTCACAGAGTAGTCACATTTCTAGACTTACTTTTTTTCCTGTCTGTCCTCTTCTAGGTAAAGTGTGACCACTATTGGCCAGCAGATCAGGATTCCCTCTACTATGGGGATCTCATCCTGCAGATGCTCTCGGAGTCCGTGCTGCCCGAGTGGACCATCAGGGAATTTAAGATATGCAGTGTATGTTACTTTGCTTGACTTCATTTAGAAACACATTGGAGCCAGGCATTGTGGAACACATCTGGAATCTCAGCACTTGGGAAGTGGAGGCAGGAGTGTCAAAAGTTCAAGGTCATCCTCAGCTACCAAGAGAGCATGAGGCCACCCTGGACAACATGAGACAGTCTCAAAAGAAAAGGAGGAAGAAATGGAGGGAGGGAGGCATGGAGGGAGGGAGGCATGAAGGGAAGGAGGGAGGGAGGGAGGGAGGAAGGAAGGAAGGAAGGAAGGAAGGAAGGAAGGAAGGAAGGAAGGAAGGAACCTAACTTACAAAGTTTTTGCTGGATCATATGTAGCCTGTAGTTTCAGCCCATGGAAATTCCTGTGTGGCTCGGTTGTTGGTTTGTTTGAGTTTGTCTTACACTATCCCTCTCATTATTCTGGTCTCTGTTCTTGCAGGAAGAACAGCTGGATGCGCACAGACTCATTCGTCACTTTCACTACACGGTGTGGCCAGACCATGGGGTCCCAGAGACCACCCAGTCCCTGATCCAGTTTGTGAGGACTGTCAGGGACTACATCAATAGAAGCCCAGGGGCCGGGCCCACTGTGGTGCACTGCAGGTATGTGCAGCCTAGGAGACAGTAAGGGTGCCTGGTGTCTGCCCATCTGAAAAAGTGCATAGAGAGAGGGTCAATAGGATTTCCCAGGGCCAAGCGGCCTGCCTCGCCTCAGGGGGGTTTTGTTTTCCCTCTGCTCCCAAGCACATTCCCCTTTAGGGTGTCTTCCCACTTTCTTCACCTCCCACCTTGTTCTCCCCCCTCACTCTCCCTCTAGTTCATTTTCCTACTGCATAAAACATAAAACCCTTAAGTGACTCTCATGTCCTCCATAATAGGCCCCAGTTCACTTTCAGTCTAGTTTCTCAACATATCTCCTCCCATCCTAGCCAGGAAGTTGACTAGACAAGCTTATTCTTTGGTTTTGTTTCTTGAAAAAATTAATTTTTAAGATTAGCATATAGAAAAAAAGGTTTCATGTCATTTTCACACATGTGTCTTTATACTTGGTTCTTGTTTGTTCTCCTCCCCCATAGCCCTTGCCTCCCTCTGGCTGGTTTTATTGCCTGCATGTATGTAAGTGCACCTGTGTCATGCAATGCCAACAGAGGTTAGAAGAGGTTCTTGGATCTCCTAGAACTAGAGTTATTGACAGTTGTTAGCCACCATGTGGGTGCTGGGAACCAAACCTGGGTTCTCTGCAAGATCACCCAGTGCTCTTAACCACTGAGCCATCTTTCCAGTTCCAATCCTCTGCTTTCTTATACTGATTTCATTACCCTCTCCCCTCTTGTGATTCCCATTGCAGTTTCTTCTCTGTGTCTCTTTCTGTCTTTCTCTTTCTGTTTCTCTCTCTCTCTCTCTCTCTCTCTCTCTCTCTCTCCCCCCCCTCTCTCACACACACACACAATTTTAAGTTTAGGTTCCACGTTTAAGAGAAAAGATATATTTTTCTTTCTGAGTCTAATATACAGACTTATTCTTGCTTCCTTAAATTTCTACTCCTTAAGATTATTTTCTCCCTCTACCTGAGTAAGATCTTTCTTACTCAGGTCTTTCTTACACCATCTTTCAAGATCCCTGTCCTAGACTCCCTCCAATAGTACATCTTTTTCCATTATGCTGCTATAACAAAATACCATAGAATAAGTAATCTATAAACAATAGAAATTTATTTCTCACAACTCTGGGGGCTTTAAAACCAAACAGGTGTGTGTGTGTCTTTGGAAAACCCCATCTAAGTCTGTGTCCTCCAGAGATGATAAAGCTGTGTCCTTGTAGAAGGAAGGGAACAATAAGAAGACCAAGCCAACTGGCTCCAGCTGTCTGCAGCAGCCAATTTTTGCTCTTAAATTTCTTTTTCTCTCCTGACCCTTCTATGCTTCAGTTCATCTATTCATAAAATCAACTTAACAAGCCATCTTTCTCTCTCTGGGGTGCCTGATGTTTAGCTAATTAATGTTTGTGGCACATTTTGATAGCCTTAACTGAATGGCACTGATTTATAAAGAGCAGAGAATTGCTATAGTAAAAGAAATGTCAAGCGAGCTAATTTTCTCCCCACCAGCACAGCACCCTAGGAGTCATGCTTTTATATGTCTTTGGAACCTTAACACTTTAATGGGAATGTGAGGCACTCAAGTTTCCTGCTTTCTGAAGAATTGCAAGCATTTTCTCCCAGGAACACTGGACAACGGTTCTTTGATAAACGTGTTCACTGCCAACCTAAATAGATTCTACAAAGAATAATGATATCTATTTAGGAGTAGTAGAGCATTGCAATGGGAAGTGTGTGCCATAGTAAACACTGAATATATTCAAAGAAGTTGAGGCAAAAGCAAGTTTCTAAGTCAAAAATGAAGAAATTTACATATGCTAACTAACCACAAACTTCCTGGGTCCTAATGACCTGAGGAGTTGGTGTCAGCTCACTGGTGAAGGTCCCATCACTGGCCTTCACCATGAAAGTATTCCATGGAGAGCATCTTATCACACTGCACCCTTAATGCTAAAGATAAACTTTGATACAGAAATCTTTGTGTGTGCAGCACATGCAGAGCATGGGACAAATAGAGAGGGAGAAAGAAGGAAAGCAGGAAGCACTTGTGAAAGTACTTATCACAGGCAGGCAGGCATGAAACCTCCCTACTTTCTACCTCCCTGGCTCTAATTTTGTCTGGGTTAAATAAGAACAAATTCATCTCGGTATCAGCAATTTGCAGAACATCAAAAATCCCATGTAGAGGAGCAATTTAGCAATCTCTAGCAAAAGTGTTTGTACCCTATAACCAACCCAGCAGTTCGCCTTCTAGCTATCGGCTGCTGAGAAATTGCCACACAGGTGCACAATGATGTTCACTGCTACACATGTCTTAGGAGAGAAAAATTAAAAATGATCTCATAATCTACAGTAGGGAATGGATTAGCAGTACTTATGAACTCCACAGAATAGTTAAAAGAAGTCAAGTCTAAGCCAAGCATGACTGCACAAGCCCATCAGTCTATCACTTGGAACTCAGAGGCAGGAAGACCACTAGTTTGAGGCCAGCCTAGGTTATATATTAAGACACTTTCTCAAACAAACAAACAAAGGAGAAATGAAATTATTTCTGCATGCATCAATCTGGATAAATCTCAAAGCACAGTACTCACAATGTTGAGTAGAGAAGTTGGCAAAGGATGCATAAAATGTTATCATTTTAGTAAAATTTCAAAACACACAAAATGTTCTTCATGGATTTGCATGTATGTAGGAAAATCGTGAATATGCATGGGCATAATACATAGCAAGGGCAGTGTCCTGAACTTATCCTTAATGGGCTGAGGGTTAGAGGAAGGGGAAGACACAGACCGTGCAGCCCTGGGTTATACTTCTTTTGAGAGAGCACTTCCACAGAAAGAAATATCCTCGTATCCTCCCATAACACGAGAGATAAAAGATTGTACCAGAGTCCCCATTTGCAATCTTTAAAAGCCAAATGAAACAAAAGCTTCAATCTTCCCTTCCTTTCTCTTCTAGTGCTGGTGTTGGTAGAACTGGAACCTTCATTGCATTGGACAGAATCCTCCAGCAGTTGGACTCCAAAGACTCTGTGGACATTTATGGAGCAGTGCACGACCTAAGATTTCACAGGGTTCACATGGTCCAGACCGAGGTAAGGCTTACAGGGTGAAGGACACAGATGCCCTTGCCTCTACCTCACCTGCCCCACCCCCTCCAACAAAAATGTCTAGGGCTTTAGTCTGAGTAAGGGAAATAACTATGACACCTTAGAAAGAGAAAGAGAACTGAATAGAGACATTTTCTAGGACTTGTTATTTTGAAGCAAATATCAGTGAACTTGAGCATAATGGGTGCTCTTTTTTAATTGCATTTATTTGCTTATTTGCTTATTTATTTATTGTGTGTGTGCACCTGTGCCATGGTGTATGAATGGAAGTCAGAGGATAACTTGCAAGAGTTACTTTTCTCTTTCCACCATGTAGGCCCTAAGCACTAAACTCAGATTAATGGGCTTGGCGCAGGTACTTTATCCATTGAGACATCTCACTGACCCTAATGTGTGCTCTTTACTGAGCTGGCTGTTCAACTCAGGAAAGAATAATTTAGGTAGGTAGAAAGAAAGATGGAGTATTTCAATCAAATGAACTGTGCACAGGGAACTAGCTAGGCAGCCCATCTGGGAGCTTATTTCAAGATAAAATGGTTTATAAGAACTTCCATAATCTTCCAATCTCGTCTTTTCCCCTAGCTCCACCCCCTTTGCTTGTACCTTCATCTGGATTTTCCAAGGGCTGTTTCTCCATCAGGAAGGTTACATGTTTCCTTTTGAACAGTCCTTTGGTGTTTGCAAGTCATTTTAGACATGTTAACTCACAGTGTTATGTGTCATTCCCAGGCTAGGAAAATGAGGCCCAGAGGCTAAAGGGTTTTACACAAAACCCATAGCCATGAAGTGGCCAAACTGACTTGGATCCTATTCTAGAGAATCTTGGGCCCTTGAATAGCAAGCCCCAGAGCCTCAGAGTCAGATCTGTACCCCCCACGTATACCAAGTGCGTCTCTCTCCTGCATACACACCTTCCAAGGTTCAATTCCTCTTCCCATTGGATTTTCCAAGTTTTTGTTCAAGTAACTCTGGGGGAAAAAATACCAAAATCTAATAAGCATTCCACAGCTGTAAAGTTTTATCTACATGCTACCATAACCTCTTAAAGTCACAGTAGTCATGGAAACCACACAGGCAGCAGCGCTTCACAACTGGCATCCCACAGCAAGGCTTGCTTTGTGCTCTGCTGAACCAGCGATTCCAAAATCCTTTGTTCTCTGAATCCTTTTCTGGTTCAGCACATATTAATAGCCTGAAGAACTCACATTCTGTAGCACATTTGGCAAAAGACAGTTGTCACCCCGCCATCGCCCCCTGGAGGCAACATCCATTCCCCTGGTCTTCGCTACCACATTGCCCTGGGTGCTTTCTTCAATACTTTCTTCTTTATTTTCTCTTTTCTCCCCCTCCCGCTTCTTTCTTTTTGTTATTATTTCGCTTTTGAGGTTTTAAAAGGATTTACTTTGTTTTTTATTTATGCATATGTGTGTATGTCCATGTGTATGTGGGTACCCAGAAAGGGGGCGGGGCTGCCAGCATCCCCGGAGGCAGAGGCAGGCGGATTGCTGTGAGTTCAAGGCCAGCCTGGTCTCCATAGCAAGTTCCAGGCCAGCTGGGGCTACAGGGAGGCACTGTCTCAAAAAAAAAAAAAAAAAAAAAAAAAAAGTTACAGACTGTTGTGAGCTACCCAATGTGGATACTCAGACCTGAACTCTGGTCCTCTGCAAGAGCAGCACATACTCACAACCATTGAGCTATCTCTCTAGCCCCAGTTTGGGGGGCGTTTGTTTTTGGTCTCACTATATAGCTCAGGTTAGCCTTGCACTTGCAATCCTTAACTTCCAAGTTATAAGTATATACCACCATGACTAGCTAGTACTTTCATTATGGAGATTTATTTATCATTTTTTATTTACCATATTCCCAGTGTTTCTTTATAAAACTATTTAAGAGTATACAAGGCGGTTCAGTGACAAAGTGCTTACCTAACTTGTATGAGGCCCTGGGCTTGTTTACAAATGCCATAAGGAGGAAAAAAACACAAAAAGTAGGAAAATCAGATAATGAATCTCCATGTACCCAAAACCCGGCTTCTACAAATGGCAGTATGTTCTTTCCGCATCTCACGTCTTTCTCTAACCCCCTGATGCCATTAGAATATTTTAAAGCATATCCGTTATGTTATTTTATCCTCAAATAAATCTTCATATTCATATATATTTTACATATTTATGTAGATAGATACTTTTAAAACCATGACCACCGTGCCATTTATCACGCCTAACAATTTTAACTGGAATTCCTAAATACCATTTAATGTCCTAGTCAGTATTTCACTATTCCTACTTATTTTTAAAAGATTATCTTTTGTAAAACCTGGCTGGCTTTCATTCGAGTCCAAAGTCTACTGATTTCATTTAGTTGGAGTATCTTTAAACCTCTTCTGTCTATAATAGTTCTCAATCTCATTTGTTTTCCACACCATTTATTTGTCACAGAAACCAGCTCATTTGTTCCCTAGATTTTCTTGGTGGTCGTATATATTCCTTTACTCCTTGTGGTTTGGGCAGGGTGGCCATTAAATTCAGAGACTCCTAGGGCCACAGTGCTCCTCCATGTGCCTCCTGTTGCATCACAGTAGGAGGCAGATCATCCATGCCCCTCCGTCAGTTCAGGCCAAATCACCAGTGACCTCACAGTTCAGGCCCCACCGTCCATTATCAGGCTCCCTCATAAGTGTTTCATGACTTTAGCTGCCACTGAGGATTGCTGTCTAGCTGTTATTTCACTAAGGGTGATAGGATTATATCACCCACTCTAACCATCATCTTTCAAGTTTCTCCACCCTAAGAGTATGAGGTCTAGGGGGTAGAAACTTATTTCCCATCGCTGTATCAGTCTTTAAGATCTATTACATGAAAGAACACATGCCCTACAGTTATGTTGCTGAAAGTCAGCGTCAGTGTTTCACTTTATTATCACTTCCACAAATTCAGACTACAATTAATTTGTAGGCTGGGGAAGAAATGTCTAATGCATTGTAAGTAGTCTTGAGCTGTGTGTATGTGCTCGTGTGTGTGTGTGTGTGTGTGTGTGTGTGTGTGTGTATTGCTTGCGTATACACTCATGTCATATAATGCTGATGGAAGTCCACAAGGTCGGATCCCCTGGAACAGGAGTTATGGATGGTTGTTAGCCGCCATGTGGGTGCTGGCCCTCTGCAAGAGCAGCCAGTACTCTTAACAGCTGAGCCAGCTTTCCAGCCCCACCAAGCAGTTTTCCACAACTATAATCCCAGCTGATCAAGAGGACCTTGAATGTGAGACAAGTGTGGGTTACACAGTATGAGACCTTTTCTCAAATAAAAAGAATCCTAGGAACTTCCTACCACTTATAAAATGAAGTTCAAATTCCCCTTCTGTGTGCAACTTTTTTACACACATAAGCATGGCCCAGCTCCTCTTTCGTGTCTCCCTATGCCTACTTAAATTAAGGAAGCTTTCCCTCCTAGGACCTGAATGAAATTTTGAGAATTTTTTATAAGTCATGATGAAAACCATATTACAGGCCAATAGAAATTTCCTTTCTCCCTCTTATTCTTGGCCAACCAAAATCCCATACAGATCAGGGATTGTCTGTCTGTCTTGCTTTAATCCTCTGCCATACTTGGACAGTTCCTACAGCCTCAGACTCCCTGACCCCAAGCTAATCTCACTCGTTTGGGCACAAAGGGGTATAACCCACAGTCCAGCACTGGAGGTAACTGCTTCTTCAAAATAAAAAAGAAAGACATTTTGAGCCCTTGTATTATATTCCATAATGACATGTGGTCCCAACTTTCTTGTATCTTGAGAATCTGGGATGTAAAGGAATACAAGTCATCACAGTTTAAAGCAAATATATCAATCAGCAATGATTTCTAACCGACCGGGCAATAGGAGACTTGCAACTGTATTCTTCCTCTTAGCCTACCTTAGGGCAGATTTGTACCCTGACTCTGAGAAGGGCACTTAGATACAGCTAAACCTTGTTGAAGAAGAGCAGGCAATGAACATCCGTCCATTCCGTCAGCTGACATAAAAGAAAACCCTGGGATGCTGTAGGATGGGGTACGTCAGGTACCGTTTAGGAGGCTGCTGTGCTGGAGAGCTCTCCCAGAACTTGGGTAAGCTGCATTTTAGCTACACTGGACTCCCCACTGTTTCTAAAACACATACACACTTTCATGTTGTTTCTATCACTTGGAATGTCCTACTTTATTCCACCTCTCAAAGGTCATGTTTTCTCTATAGCTTGCTGTCTTCCTCTCCCCAAAGTGAACCCAAGGACTTCCTGACCTGTATGAAGCTTTGTACCCAATTCTAGTTTATCACCTTCTAGGTATTTGCTCACATGCCTGACCTTCTGCTAAACTATGCTCTCAGGGATCATGAACAGCTATACAGGAAATGCTATATACATCCTATGTAATTCTACAAATATTGGGGGAATTAAATGGAATGGAATATGTCAACACTGAGCCAGGGCTTCACTAATTAGAAAAAAAAGATCGTTCGTGACTTGAGGTTTACATTAGGGTTTTTTTTTTCATTGATATAAAGGAGGCACATTAACAATTTGATGTTTTTAGAAGCAATCATTTTTTGAAGGCACATTCTATTGGGAAAAGAAGAACTGATATTTAAGACAAGCCAAATTAATAGACAGTAATTAGTTTCAAAGCCCATGGTGGATCATTGTTGAAGAATTTATTAATAAGCTATGGCCCAAGTATAATAGAGTTCATTCACAGTTTACCTCTTTGATCCATAAGCAATTTAATTTAAAGTAAGAGTTACGCGTTGGATGAGAGGAAGTGGTAAGGTAATGGTAAACCATTTTAAATTGTCAAAAACACTTTCAGAAGAGTATCTCTTAGGATTTTCAAGACAGCCTAAAAAAATGAGTAGTATCTGTGAACTAAGCCTCACCTATGATTGATTTTTTAATGCCTTCTTAAAAAAAAAAAAAAAAAAAAAAAAAAAAATAGCTGTTAAGCCTCACCTATGATTGATTTTTTAATGCCTTCTTCTAGATGCAAAAATAATCTCCGTGGTAAAGCTCTTCCCAGCATGTGTGAGTTTCTAGGTTCAATTCCCAGCACAGCAAAAGAAAACAGAGGAGGGAGTAGGTAGAGTGTTTGCCTGGCATGCACAAAGCCCTGGGTTCAGTCCCCAGAACTGAATAATACTGGTAGTGATGGCATGTGCATGTAATACCAGCACTTGGGAGGCTAAGACTGGAGGATGAAGACATCAAGGTCAGCTCTGACTACATAGCAAGTTCAAGGCCAGCTTGGACTACATGAGACCCTGTGTCAAAAAACTAAAAAAAAAATGTCTTGATCTGTTGACTATCCTGGACTATCTTCTGAAATCCCATGGGTAGATGACCAGGCTAGCTTCCAATGAGCAACAGTACCTAGTGCTACCCATAAAAATAAGCACTGCCCATATTGAAAGATTGTTAGTGAGGGAAGAAATTTTATTTCCACTTTGTATCTCAAACTTGATGACATTAGTTACCTTAAACATAGTGTTAGGCAATAACTTTTGGTATCTACCTAATGGACATCGCTACCAAGTCCAATACTCTTGAATGACAAAGGGTATTGTGTGTAGAAGAGACCCTGGGCTCCTTGTTGTATAGAGAACAAACAGTTCGAGCAGGTTCACCATTGATCCTGGGGGGAAAATCAGTCTTCTTCTCGTGGGGTTATATTCTCCTCCCAGCCTCCTCACTCCCTGCATTCTGCCAATGACTGTATCATGAAAAGAAGCTCAAGGTCAAGCACTACAGATATACAGGCCTCTATCCCTTTAGTAAGGGTAGAAAGGAGTGGAACCCAGTGCATAAGTTGGGCTGCCTGTGGCCCACACACTGTTGTCAATGGAATCTTTGTGGTGTCTTTATGGTCACCAGAGCATTGACCCTTTTATATTTATATTTTTGTTAATTCCTGAGGCTAGAGAGATAGCTCAATGGTTAGGAGCACCAGTGGCTGAGCTGTGTGTCTGTCCTCACTGGGTAGCCCTCTGTAGGTCTCTGTAGTCTACTAGCATCTCTGAGGTTCTTCCATGGATTACACTTGGCACTAAGAGGGCAGAGATGAACTAGATGCCACTCTTGCACACAAAGCACTGGTTGCCAGTGGGTTAATCATACACATTGCCTCCCCCACTATATCTGCAAAAGAGGGGGAACAAAAGAGAAGAGAACACAGTGAATGCTGTTCTCGGAAGAAAAACCACGTAATGAGAAAATGAACTTTGAGGTCAGACTTCCAGAATCAAGTCCAAGTGTCCTATTTATTAGTGGTGCCACCTTGGAGAAGGTAATGAACTTCTCTGAGTCAGTTTATATTGATAATTCTATTTACTTCACAAGGGTGCTGAACTCATAGAATGAGTTATGTAAAGCAAAAGCACAATGTATGGCATTCATTGTTGTGTTTCATTTGTGAAAGGCCTACTATGTACCTCTAGGCACTCAGCACATACTGTAAAAACATGCATCATCTGAATATTTTATTTATTGTTTTTATTTTTTGTGTATGAGTGTATTGCCTGCATGTATGTAAGTATACCCGTGTCATGAAATGCCCATGAAAGTCAGAAGAGGGCATTGGATTCCCCTAGAACTAGCATTATGGATGGTTGTTAGCTGTCATGTGAATGCTGGGAACCAAACCTGGGTCCTCTGAAAGAACAGCCACTGCTCTTAACCACTTAGCCATCCAGCCTCACAGGCATCATTGAAAAAGAATGAACAGGGGTTGAGGAGATGGTTCAGTCAGTAAAGTGCTTGATGTGCAATCATGAGGACCTGAATTCAGATCTCCAGCACCCACATAAGAAGCCAGGCTGCATAGTGAACTCTAGGCCAGCTACAGTACAGAGCGAGACCCTATCTCAAAAAAAAGAGAAAGAGAGAAAAAGAAGAAAAGAAAATTTGCTAACCGCAAAGTCCCACCATCTGTGGTTGTTTGTGACAGTCCCTCATCTCTCCTGTGCTTGAGGACAGGTCATCCTCTGATATGTTTTCTGCTTCTCCACAGTGTCAGTACATATATCTGCATCAGTGTGTGAGAGACGTCCTCAGAGCAAGAAAGCTACGGAACGAACAAGAAAACCCCCTGTTTCCAATCTATGAAAATGTGAATCCAGAGTATCACAGAGGTAAGAGCTTACTTCAGTAAGTTGTACTTCTCTAATTTTTTAGTTCGGTTTTCAAATTATGGTCAATCTAGCAGCTATTATTAGCCTTGTCCAATAGGCATTCTTCTTCCACCCAGAAAAAGTAGCAACAGAGAGGTGAGGGAGGGTACGGTGGAGTGCTGGGGATGGAACCCAGGCTGACATGACAAACAAGTGCTCTACTGCTGAACTGGGTCCCCAGGCCCTCTGCCCTCTGTCTACCTAGCCCAGCATGCCCTCTGTGAAGGCCTCTGCATAACATTTCTTTTCTAAGACCTAAGTCTATAGAACACACTGAAATTGCAACTAGAAATGAAAATTAGAAAATTATTTTGAAGAAGAATTTGGCAGTCAAGTTTTCAGAGTCCTTAATGTGTCCTTATCCATGACCCAATATTTCTTCTACTGCTCTAAGTACAGAAAATGCTTTATGCAAAAAACTTCTCACAGTTAAAGCTGGAGTGGAAAACACTAATCCAATAGAGGACTGTGTTTGCTGGGCTGGCCTGGAACTCCTGGGCTCAAACAATTCTCCCACCTCAGTCTTGTGATTAGTGGCACTAAATATACATGCCATGACCCCTGGCTCCAGAATAATATTTTTGAGATATTATAATAATATGAATATTCCTATAAGGAAGCTTGTCTTGGTCCATTTTTAATTTTTTAATTTAATTAATTGATGTATATATTTTTAAAATTAATTTCTATTTTTTATGTATGAGTATTTTGCCTGTATGTATGTAAGTGCACTTGCGTCATGCAGTTCTCAAAGAGGCCAGAAGAGGGTATTGGATCCCCTGGAACTGAAGTAATGGACAGTTGTTAGCTCCCATGTGGGTGCTGGGAACTGAACCTGGGTCCTCTGGAAGAACAGGCAGTGTTCTTAACTGCTGAGCTATCCCTCCAGCCCCATGGTCCATTTTGTGTTGCTAGGACAAAATACTTGAGACTGGGTACTTGATAAAGACAGGAGACTTGGACTGGGGATGCAGCTTGGTGGTAGAGCTCATACTTAGCATGCAGGAGGCCCTGGGTTCAGTCTCTAGCACCACAAAGAAAAAAAAGCAAAAGAAAAGAGGAAAATCTAAGATCAGGGCTGAAGAAATGGCTCAGCAAGTAAGAGCACTGACTGCTCTTGCTGAGGACCCAGATTTGGTTTCCAGCATCCACACGGTGGCTAACAACCATCTATAACTCCAGTTCCAGGGCATCTGATGCCATCTTCTGGCCTCCATCAACATTGCACAACATGGATGCACTTACACACATGCAGGCTAACACTCACATACATAAAATTAAAATTAATAAAGTTTAAGAATTAAAAGAGTTAAAGATTAGGCAGACCTCAGAAGTTTGTGCTCTGGTAGGGCCCAGCAGCTAGTTATGTTAGTTACATCAGGTGATAGCACACATGAGAGACAAAGCAGGAAACTAAGGAGAAGCCAACCTTGTTCCTTCATAACACCCTGCTCTGTGGGATCTAATCCATACCTGTGAGGCCCGACTAACATTGAGAGACCAGAGATAAGTATTTGCTGGACCCATATTGACCTCCCACAGTGGGGCCATCCTGACCTCCCACAGTGCTCCCACTTCTTACTGGTCCCACCACTTTTCAGTATTCTTACACTAGGCACAAAACACCTGTCCACTGAACCTTTGAGTGACAAAGTTTATCTAAACCATAACACAAATGAAGGAAAGGAGAATGTAAAACACACAGAAGCAGTGCATATAGTGGGTAATAGACTGCAAGGAATCAGTCAAGTACATTTCTCTGAACAATAGAAGACTATGCAATCGCTTTCTTCTATTTTACCATCTTTTCTAGAACAAAAATGTGACATGTTTTAAATTTTAAAATTCAGGAGTAAAAAAGAGCATAAACTTTATAAGACACTGCTTTCATCAAGTGATTATTAACTGACAAGTGGAGGGCCTTTTTGCCTCTTCAATTCTGGACCACCAATAAGACCACATCAGCTGTCTGTGACTGGAAAGGGACATTATATTACTGACCTGCTACTGCCTCCCAGAGACCTCAGGTCCTTGCCAGCAGGGCTGAGATCTACCTATAAATTGGATATTTTTTCTTTGATGGATGTCATTTTAGACCTGTCTTAACTGCGTTTCTAAATGCTGTTCGCCTGACAATGTCTCCTATTGTTTGTTTAGCTCCACTCTCTGCCCACCCACCCTGAGTTATTTAGAGGAGAGCTTTATAAATCAAATAATCCTTTTGTGTTGTAAATAACTACCCCCTAATTTATCTGTAGAATAAATTAAGGTTTTTGCCTGACAGTTTCTTTAAGGAACTCCAGGATGGTGGGGTTTGGAGGGTGGATTTTAGAGGCTCCTTTGTCTTGTGTTAACTTGCTTGAGAATCTTTTTTAGGTTACTCTTGGGCATGCCTAAAAGAAGTTAACTGTGGGTTAGAGAAAGATTGCCCCATCCCAAAGGATAAGATTCATATCCTAGCTCTGGCGCTGCCTATTATGCAACCCTTGGGGGTCACTCTGCCTCTGGGCCTGTGGCTTCCTCTATAACCCAGAGGGGTTAAATGAGGGGCTAGAGAGATGGCTCAGTGGTTAAGAGCACTTGCTGCTCTCGCAAAGGACTTGGGCTGGGTCAGCATTCACATGGTGGCTCATAACTGTCTGTAACTCCAGTTCCAGGAGTTCTAACACTCTCTTCTGAAATTTGTGGGATACACATGGTACACATACATACATGTAGGTACTCACATATACATATAAAATAAAATAAATAAATCTTGAAAAAAAAATCAGAGGGGATGAATGTACATCCCGAGCTCCTTCCAAATCTGGGAAACTGTTTCTAAATGGAGTGCACTGGCCCCACAGAGAGGCTCTCATCCTAAACCACATGAAGCTTTATGGATATTCACCTCATCCTAAAACACGTGGAGCTTTAGTGATGTCTATTAGTCTCTCCTATTTGTAATTTTCACAAACAGGACCACTGTGACATTCTCTCTTATGTCTCTAACTACACTGTCCTTGCTTTTAGATGCAGTCTATTCAAGACACTAAGAATGCACCAGAAGCCTTGCTGGATAAAGTTTTTCACAATGTGATTAAAAAACAAAACAAAACAAAACAAAACAAAAAACCTTGCTTCAGGCCCTACAGAGGTGCCAGCTATTTCTGTTGATACTATGTATAATTTATTAATCTGGAGAATGTTAAAGAATTTATGTAATTTAAAGGTAATAGATATTATTGTACAGAGTTGTATTTTGTAGTTTCTCCTGTAAATATGTATTTTTTCATAATGTTTAATATTAAGCTTTATATAAGACTATTTTTTCCACACTGAAGTGTTCATGGCTTGTTCTACATAAACTAATTCAACCTGTGTGACAGGACCACTGGTGAAATGTGTGTAGAGGAAGTTGCAAGGACAATCCTTGGGGTCATGTTTCTTATCTGCCTCAACAATCACTGAATAAGACAAAGGGCAGAGCTGGAGCCAATTACAGCAAGCCCAGCTTTGCTGAGCTACTGTCTAAAGAGCCATGGAATCCAAAGAGGACACATATTCTGTTAGGATGAATATAACAGTAAAAGATTAGGACTGGGGTGACACCTTTGTGGTAGAGCTTATGCCTAGCATAGGTTCAATCCCAGAACCAAGAAATTAAAAAGATAAAGGATTAGACAGCATCAAAGCTGAGCTAAATCACTGTGCCTAAACTAGATGTTCCTTCCCCTTTCTCCTGCCAGAGAAGTGAGGCATGGTCAGCCCAGGAGCCTTGTAATTTGGGGTAGCTCAGGATGCAGTGTAGAGGGTTCTGGAGTGATGCAAACAGACATGCAGAATACCTTCTGTCAAGAATGCCAGCCGTACATCTGACTGGAAACTAACATACAAAGCATGCTACATTCCTACAGCATTCACACTTGGCTTTCCCATGGGAAGAAGATGTGGTGGTAGATTATGTGCCCAGTCAGAGAAAGGATGGCACAGCAACCCGTTCATAGAAAGGTCTATAGCATCACATATAATGAATCAGAAACCAAACAATAGTGAAAACAAAAACTCAGCAGTCCTTAGTCTAAAATCTTCTGAAAGACTTTTATCCTCAATATCTGTGCCTTATTTTGAGCATAACAAATTTCAGTGAGTCAGGAACTGGGTTTTACACACATCAAGATCCAGTTCCTACAACTTTCCTCAGAAAAATCTAAAAAAGTATCTGTATGGACTATGCCTAAGCAAATGAGCAGGAGACATTTACTTCTAATGGGGTCACATTTTTGTTGTTTTCTGAGTTTCATTTGAAGAAACAACACATTTCTCTTGAAAGTATGCATTTTTTTAACCTACCATAAATTCCCATACATAATAAAATGAATATAATTGGCATAATAATTGAAGATGGCTAACAATAGCTAAAAACATTTTAATTTTTATTCATAAATACACTATAATATTTATAATTGCCTAACTACACCTAATCTAGAAACCTTTGTGGAATTATTTGAAGATCATCAAAACCAGTGGAACAGTCCATAAGGATGCCTGTGGTGGCAGTGCGAGCATTCAGAGTGCTCACGGCATCACTGTGCCCCTTGTCCTTGTGAAATGATACTGTTATGCTCTGATTCTTTATCCACAAACTCATTGGCTCTTCTGGACAGAGGTGTAAAAGATGGAGCTATATCTCTACGGAGAAAATAGAGATCGGACATCTATGAAATGTAGTGTCGGTTAGGAATCACTTTTCCTAGCGTGAAAGAAAAGTCAGACTGGAGACGCCCCTCAGCAGCAGCACACTTGTGTAGTCACCTCCAGAGGTCCAACCCTATCCCTCCCCCAGGAAAAAGAGTCAAGAGGAGAACAAAATGGAATTTTAATAAATTCATTTTCAGCTTTCCATTTATTCAGAAAAGGATTTTAACAAGTGCCTGAAACCTGCTAGGCACAGAATGTGTGCTGCTTCACCCAGAAAGAGAAAAGGGGATAGTGAAGTTAGCAACCATCACTGTTTTCAGTTGAACTTAAAGGAGGGCCTAGGTGAGGGGATGAGAGACTAGAGGCAGCGAAGCACAGTGGTCACTTTCCACAAGGCACTTGCTAGCAAGCGCTGACAATGTTTCAACAGTAAACCACTAGATGCAGAAGAGAAATCAGTTAATTGTACAAGCCAGAAATTACAACTGCAAAAACCCTACATATCTGGAACCATAAATGACACTCGAATACCCTTGAAGCATCTGAGGTGGAATCAGAATTACAGAAATGAGCATGGCTTGGGAAAACCATACATTCTTTAAATCTAATCCAGGAAATATCGATTCTTCCTCTATACCTAATTTTAAATCTCTTTAACAATGAATATATTGCTATTCAATCTCACTCCCAGAAAGAGAGAATAGAAATCTAGTTGATATAGTCAATAAATTTAGCAGAGATCCAGACTGGAAATGGAACTCAGTGGTAAAATGCTTGTCTGGCCTGGGGGAGGTCCAGGGTTCAATCTCTGGTACCACAAAATAAGCAAGGTAAGAAAGGTTTTCTTGACATTCAGCTCCTTTGGATGCATTTCCCCTTAATTGCATCATGTGGCTGTGCCTTGGTAAACACTCCACTTCCTGCAGGCATCCTGTCTGCACCTGTGTGCTGCTCTTTAATCATCAGGCTTCAAAGTGCTTCTGAGCTATCAAATCTTGAGAGAGTCTGTCTTGCATCTTAATAATTATTTATCCAAGTTCCTTATAATTAACTCCTTTAATCTCTTCACATTAAATCAATTTTATATTATCATTTTGCTTCTCCCTGGAAAACTGCCAATTTTTCCACTCTTAATTCAGGTTTTCAAGGACTCATCTTCCTGTCTGGACTTGCCCATGTTTGTCCTAAGTCATTTCCCATCCCATAATGCTTGAGTTCCACTATCCCGCTCCTTGCCTTCTTCCTTTGAATATGTTCCCTGTGCCAGGTGAATCTTCTTTTCCTTTCCTCTCCTTTCATCCATTGGTAACATTTCATAAACTGAACATTGTAGAAGAAAAATCATGACTTCATTTTTCATTATTAAAATGGCAACAGCATAGCAGTTGGGGTCAGTTATATATGGGAAGGTCTTTAATTTTGTTATTACCTCTTGGAAGAAAGCTCAAAGTGACATGAGAAAATAATATGGAATGGTTTAACAGATGTCCAGCAATACAAAAATAGGGCTCACATGTTACACTTAACGCTGATTCTCTTGCCTTGGTGCCTAAGGATCCAACTCCTTATATTAAACGCATTCCTCTCTCTTTGCAATAAAATAATCTGTCATATACTAAACTCCTGCTCAATTAGTTTTATGAGCATTTTTGTAAGGTTTACATCTTGAAACTACCAGGTCTGTACAACAGTGAGTGCTTGTATCAGAACCCCAGCCCTGGTGTGCTCTAAAAATTTTGGGGGGGAGGTCTTTTTGAGACAGGGTCTCCCGTAGCCCCAGCTGGCCTGGTAGTCACTATGTAGATCAAGCTGACCTTGAACTCACAGAGATCCACCTGCCTCTGGGCTCCTGCGTGCTAGGATTAAAGGCATGTGCCACCCATTGTTCACCCAAGCTGCCCAGGCCAAATCCCAGACAACAGTGAATAGTGACAGTACTAAACTACTTGTTTACGGTAGTGGTGCAGGGGTTTTCTGGATTCCATTTCACTGAAGAAATAAATGTAACTTATCAGCCAGGACAGAGTGGTAAGAAGGTACGAGTGTTCCTTCTCTCTATGGCAGCAAATGAGTTGAAGAGTCAACATAGAAAATGGCACATCTGCCTGAGATTCCAAATAGAACAGCATCAGGTATTCAAACAATGTCTCACATCAAAGAAGCTTTAAAACTGTGACTGCAGAAAGGAAGTAAAATGCTCCAAAGAAGGGAAAATACTGAAAAAGGGCCAATCGAAGCAGACATCATCGGAAGACACAATGGCATCTTTGTGGTGAGGTTGTTCTCTGAGACAGACAGGCTGAATGAACATCCCCAACCCTGAAATCTGAAACTCAAAGTGCTCCAAAGTCCAAGGGCTTTTGTGAGCACTGCAGTGGGAAGCTCCACACCTGACCTTGTGTAATGTGTCAGTCAGAACACAGGTACACTAAAAATACCTCGTAAAATTAAAAATCAGCTACGTGTACAAGGCACATGTGAGACGGAAATAAATTTCACATCTAAACTTGGGTTTCAACTCAAAATTCTTATCTTACATATGCAAACAACCCGAAAATTTCTTAAAACCCTGGACCAATTTTGGTTGCACAGGTCTCGGATAAAGGATCCTTCACCTGTGTTTCTTTTCTTGCACTTCACTTTAACTTTGTTGGTCAGGTGATTTAGTTGATTAAATAATTAAATTGACTCATTTAATTTTTGAATTAACCAGGAGTGTGACTAAATTTACTGGGTTTGGCATTGCAGACACTCACCTTAGACTCTTACAATGCAGAATGACTTCAGAAGTGTTTGACCATTTCAGTTGAAATGTGGGATGACATTCGATGCAGCCATGATAACAGCAAAAATCTGCTCTGTTCTAAAAATATGTCTAGCAATGAAAACATTTCTGGCTGAAAGAATACTCGACTTGTAGGGAGGCTCCCTTCAAATAAATGTAAGGTTTTTTTTAAGAATTGTCGATTCAGATAATGTTCACTAAGTAAGGAAGTTGTTGGTGAATACTTCCAAAGTAGGAGCTTATGTAATGGAAATAAAAGGCATATTAAAATATTTAACAAAAATTATTCTTATAACTTATATGCCAAAGCTCATGATCTTATATAAGACACCAAAATAAGTTGTTCAAAACTGTGAATAACGTCAGACAAATGTAATGTAGCCCTTCTTAGAATAGTCAGGAGAAGGATTAGTTATGGCTGTTTTCTGCCTCAAGAACTATCATCCTTGTCCTAACAGCAAGCCTTCTATTATGTTTGAGATAGTTACTGTATTTTAATAACTATGTGTGTAAATAAGCACTGGGTTGAGAAAGGGATGCATACAATTGTGGCTTTAGGAGTCCAGTGGAGCCGAGCAGCATCCATCTGCCAGTTAGTGGAACAGTCTGCACCAGTGTTCATGGGGTCTCCTAGCGTCATCCACTCTGAAAAGAGGGGGCACCAGTCACTTGAAGTGACTTCATCTCACTCTTGTTTGTGAGGCTTCTCCAAGGACAAAGAGAAAACCGCTTCTTCCACCTTACAGAGAATAGTTCACAATTCATGCATGTCCTGCATGCACTGTGTGGAGTGGAAATGGTTCTGGGCCTCATGTTTTGGATGCTAAGTAGTCTACTATTTGTTAAGTCCACAGAGGTGCAGCTGACCACTTCTTTGTCTGTGTGAAGCATGAATATATTATGTAAATAAATCCAGCAACTGAATTTATTATGTTCTATAATAGAGCATTTTTATATTTTAAAAATCATTTACTTATTCTCTGCAAATCCAGTTAAATGGCAGTAAATAATTCTATTTTTTCATATTATAGCATCTACCCACAGTATTGTATTTGTAACCAATACTATTTGAACCAAGAACCCCATTAGCCTTTCTATTTAAATAATATATGTGCTTAATATATTTTCATATTTGTGACTGTTTAAAAAATACATAGAATATTGCATACCCCCTCGCCAATGTAGAAATAAAACTGCTGCTTGTTGAAGGAGTGTGTCCTGTCTTCTATTTGCCTATTTCTCACTTAAGTTTTATCATCCTCTGCTCAGGGAAAAGGTCAAAAATTGGCTGCTTTTAAATGAGAAAAATCTTGCAGGCCATTACCATGAACCGTGTGGCTGTCTTAACCTCTGTCCAGTAAGTGCTGAGTTGGTTGCCAAGGGCACTGTGAACATATAATGGACTCTGCAGTCGGCTGCCTCTATGAAAAATTCCTGTTTTCACACCTTCAGTTCATTAGCAACCAAAAATGCTATCCATTACCCACAGTGCTGCTGCACTCTCAGAGGCTTGGAGCTGCGAGCCCTTTAGACACTCCACACATTAGTGGGCAGTGTGACATTTGCTGGAGAGCTGCGGTGCTGACTTCCAGAATTATGAATTTGCCCTTTGCCATTTTCACATTTCAGTTGAAAGATCGCTGCCCGTCACAATTCTAGTATTTGGTTTTTTTCTGTAACAACTTAGTCTAGAAACCTTTATTTAAATTAATAAAAAGTATAATAGATTCCCATTTAAAACCATAAAAGCAATCCTTTTTGAAACAGTTTCTAGAGTCAAATGATTACAGTAACAAAATACTTTGTCCTATGAAGACTGTTTTTTTCTTCAAAGTATCTGTTTTGTGGAATTTGTTCTTAAAAAGAATAATATGGCCAGGAAGATGGCTCAGTGAGTACAGGCACTTGCCACTAAGCCTGTGAGCTGAGTTCAATCCTCAGAACCCTCATGGTGGAAGGAGATAACTGACTCCCACAAGCAGTCCTCTGACCTCTACATGCACACTGTGGTACCCACGTATTATCCCCAAAACACAATTAATCAACTAATTAATAAGTAAAAACAATAAAGAGGAGATGGATGACCATGACCACAAGGAAAGAGAACTTTCCAGACAGCTGGTCAGTTGCACATATGAATTCAAAGCACTGGTGACAGCATGCACAAGTCCCATGCAAACTCACACTACCCAAAATTCCAGCATAGACATAGGGAAGTGGGAAAGAAATCCCAGCCTAACCTAAGTAACTTTTGGCAACTGATGGCTGCTGAGAGGGGAAGAGACAGTCTCTCTTTGTAGGTTAACCAGGCTCCAGGGAATGGACCTGCACTGAAGGATATTTGGGGACATAAATCAGACTCTATAGGCCATATATATATGGCATAAGAGAGAGAGAGAGAGAGAGAGAGAGAGAGAATATATTAAATCTGGTGGGGGCAATATGGGAGGTATGATTTAAGGAAGGGATCTAAATATCATAAAATTATATTGTATGAAAATCGAAAAAATTCAATAAAAAAAGTAAAAAGAATAATATATATGATCCCAGCACTTGGCAAGCTATGGTGGGAGGATTGCTGTGAATTTGAGGCTTGTTTGTTTGTTTTTTAAGTGATTTCAAAGCCTTTAATCCCAGCATTTGGGAGGCAGAGGCAGGTGGATCTCTGTGAGATCAAGACCAGCCTGGTCTATATAGTGAGTTCCAGGCTGGCTGGGGTTATAGGGAGACTGCTGCAAATCACAAAAAAAAAAAAAAAAAAAAAAAAAAAAAAAAAAAAAAAAAAAAAACAAAAAAAAAAAAAAAAAAAAAAAAAAAAAAAAAAAAAAAACAGTAACATAAAACCAACCAGACTAAATAAAACTAAAAAATGCTACAGGGTGACTGGGGAAATAGCTCATCAGATAAAGTGTTTGCTGTACAATGGTAAGAACTAGAATTTTGATCCCCAGAACTGACATAAAAGCCAGGTGGGAGGGATGGCCCTCCTGTAATCCCAGCACACTGGAGGTGGAGGCAGGGAATCCCAGAGCAAGCTGGCTAGCCAGAGTAGCTGAAAAGGTAAGCTCCACGTTCAGAGAAAGATTCTGCCTCAATCTATAAGATGGACAACAATCAAGGAAGACAGCCAATGTCAACTTCAGGCCTCCACATGCATATGTGTGTGTGCAGACATATGTATCCCCATGCATGCGAATGTGCCCCCCACACACACTCACACACACACAAAGAATAAAATGCTATAGATGGGGTGGGAGAACAGCTCAGTAGTAGCGTGAATACTTGGCATGCGGCACCCCTTGCATGTAATGCCTATGTACAACGTGAATATGAAATGACCCTTCCCCCAGGCTTTTGAATTGATTCCTATGCATTGGTGGTGCCATTTTGAGAAGTTCTGGAAATTTAGAAGGTGGGGCCTAGCTGGAGGAAGCATGTCACCGAGGGTGTGCTTTTGAAGGCTACACTTGGTCCTGTTGCCTTCCCCTTTCCTTACTTCCTGTCTGCTAGGAGCTGAGCAGGGCACATGTTCCCATTACCATGTTGCCTCACCATGGGCCCAGAATAAGCAGAGCCAAGGACTGAAACCTCTGATACCATGAGCTAACATCAACAATTTCGCCCTTAAGGCATCACTGTCAAGGTATCTTGTCCCAGTGATGAAAATTCTGCCTAGCATGCCCCAATACCACCAAAAAATAAACAAACAAACAAAAAAAAAACCCCAAAAAACAAAAAAAAACAAAAACAAAAAAATGCTGTAAAAGATCATATTTAATTTTGGGACAGTCTTTAAAATTTGTCACATTTAGACAGTGCTGTTTACTTTAAAAAATGACTCATGGGTACTGGCTCATTGTATTTTTTTCAAATGCCACACCATATAGACTAGTAAGTGCTCTTTACAGAAGTGAAAGAAAGTTCCCAGAAAGAACTTCTGCACCTGGGACAGAATTTCCTAAAAGGCTGACCAACTGGATTAGCACTCCAGAGATTGTGGAGAGTCTGGAATGTTGTAGATCCAGAGCCTATTCACAAATCATCTGGGGACATTTAACCCCATAAATAGCCACACTTTGCCTACCTCTGTTTCTGAATTAACATTCTTGTGACTAATAAAATGTATTAACTTAGCAGACCACCAGGTCCCACCAATCAAAAAGCGAAGAATTTCATCAGACAACATCTGAGACCTATAGTAGAAGCCCCCTCCCCCCGACTTTGCTATGACCCACCTAATGAATGTGTCTACCAATGTATTTGAACAGTGTCTTGATTAGAGTCCAGCCTTGGAAGACAAAATATTTTAAAAATGAGGAAGAACCCAATAGAGGGATGCTTTTGGAAGCCTTTGTCAAGAAATTCTGAAAATTGCCCTGTTTTGGCTTTGACTCGAACTTGTAATGCTAATTACTCTTGCCATTACTTCTCCTTCACTTCTCTTATTCATGATTCAAGGACTTTCTTTTCCACTTAGAGGTGAGAGTTATGCAATTTGGGAGTCTTTTAGATAGACCCACTGAAGGCATCCTCCAACTGCCTCACCACTGAAGGGGTACTCCAGTTGCCTCACCCTGCATCCCTGTTCAGCATGGAACAAGCCAGAGATGTCTGTATCCCGATTCCCTATTGGCAATTTGGGTAACCTCTTCAGAGGATGGTGTGATAAGAGTAGGAGGTAGGAATTAGTTAGGTGAAAAGACCCCAAAGAAAAGTAGCCAGTTTCTTGGCTAAAACTCACAATGTCCTTGGGCCTCTTAGCAACCTACTCCTTTCCAAAGGTCAAAAATGTCTAAAATATCTGGGAACTTTTATCTAATCCTTAAAAGATTTTAGGGTTACCTTTTCAAGGGGGGGATGTTAGAGTAGCCCAAAGCCCCATAAAAAATAAATAAATCAAGGAAGAAAGAGTACATGAAGTTATCAGAAAAAAAGTGATGGGGAGATATGGGAGGAGTTGGAGGGGAGGGAATGGGCATGGATTTGATCAAAACACCTTATATGCATGTATTAAACTCTTATCCTCTTTGAGGTGAGAGTTATGCTTTTGCATCAACGAATAAACTATCTCTTTTCCTCTTTGAGGTGAGAGTTATGCTTTTGCATCAACACAGACTAAAAAGTGGAGACACAGAATGAGCAAGTTGTTTGAAACTCAACAGGATAGTCATGTGGGCTCTTGAGAGTGGAGCCTTTCTTGGCTTTTGGTGAACTTAACTTGGGTAGCTAGAGGGATAGCTACCAACAGTCACCAAACCCACTCCAAGCTAGTAGCTTTCAAGTTCATTATTTCACCCAAGAAGAATACGGAAATGCAGACAAGAAGCAAGCAAAATAAACACAGGTTGATTAAGAAGTGTGGGAGACTCCTAAGAATGGGAGGGATTCCAAGACAGACACTGCCGTGCCATCTAGTGGCCTTTTATGAGATTCATGGCAGGAACTGAATGGACACTGAAGCAATCTTTATTGGGATTGGCCATTTTCTGAGCACATCATGGGCTGAACCAGTGAATGGCCTACATTTGCCCTTTGCACACCCCCTTCAGCTCAACCAAACAAGTGATCACGTGTTACTCAGCCAATCAGAGGAGTGCTCACAAGTTGTAGTTGCCTTCATCCACTCTCTCTCCAAACTCCTTATATTCAGTTCGTTTTGTAGGCTGTCAACTGAGTCACTTTCTAAGTGATTACCTCATGAGCTACCATGGGCCCCGCCCTTACTTCCTGTGGGGAGCTAGTTTCCATCTCCATGGCCACTGCCCATGCATCTGATACACTATTCATATTCTAAATAACATTTTACATAAGCCTTGTCATTGGACCAAGTTTTGGATATTGGTCAACTGAAGTTACGGTTTTGTTTTGTGACAGAATCTGGCTAGTGTAGCCCCATCAAGCTAGCCTCTAACTCAAACTGGAAATCCTCCTGCCCTAGCCTCCTGAGTCCTGGGATTATAGACAAATAACACCATGCAAGCAAGAAACTGAGGTTAAGAGGCAAAGTGATCTGTCCAAGACCATCCAGTACCAATGCTCAGCTTCCCATCTAACTTTTTCTGACTTCAAAGTGTGACTCCTATGTGTATGCCAAAGCAACTCACTGTTCAGTGGCCAGGCTGACAGCATCTGTAAGTATCACGTGGGATATGGTTAGAGAAGTAAATTCAAATCAACATCTCTACCACCTTCAGTCCTTTGACTCTGA